ATTATACAAACATTTTATAATAATAATATTTAAAAATGTAATAAGCATGGTAGAAAATAATAAACTGCATTTCGTTAATGTAAATGCTTTTTTGAATTTATTGTGTTTGTCAGCGGTCTACAGATACATTTATGTATGTATTTACATATCTACATACATGATTACATACATATGTATGTATGTTGGAACTATGAGTTTTTTTCTGTAAAAAAATGTGTTGGTTTAGTAGTGTCAGTTGCATTTACCATATTTACTCTTAAAATTCGATGTTTTACTATAGTTGTACTGTGCGCTTCCATATGTAATTTCTTGAAGTGATTCGCCAAAATGGGTAACGGTTTAAAAAAGTGTTCCATTACAAAAGTTTGACCTACCTGTTCTTGCCCAAATTTAAATTTAGTAAAGAATTSTATTTTTAAACTCATATACATGCTTATCAAAATGTGTTTGTATGTAAAAGTTTGTTTGAAATGTGCTTACGATTATCAGGTGATTGGGTATTCATGACGAATTATTTAATTTAAAAAAAATCGCGCATAACCAGATTTTGATAAGATATTTACTAAGCRGATGTACCTACGATTAAATAAGTGCAATGACAAAAGAAACCCACGCAAATCACGTTGGGTGAGTGAACTTTGCATGTAATATAAGACAAAAGTACTTCCTAGTCCTATTTAAAGCGTAGACCGTAGATCATGCGTTGAAAATAAAACGCAACTTAATGAAAATGTGATTAAGTGAGTTATTTGTATGTATGTAAGTAGCTCGATAAAAATCGCAAAAACTGCGGATAACAGTTTCACGTTAAGCATTGTCTGAGAAATTTAGAAGCTGTCTCTTATACACATCTAGAAAAAACTGCGGATAACAGTTTCACGTTAAGCATTGTCTATGAGAAATTTAGAAGTGCCTAAAATTTAAAAAGGTTTACATTTCTTWCTTTAAAAATGAAAAATATTCAAGTGAACGAAATCAAAATGTCCATTTTGCTCCGTACCTGTAATAATTTCGTTAATGCTGCCAATTTGACAAACTAGGCCGGATAAAAATCCCGGGTCCATTTCGGTTAGATACATCAGATACCAAAAGAAAACGTCGGAGSGAACCCTTTAAAGGATATCTGTATATAAATGATCAGTATGACGAGCTGAATCAATTTAGACTTATCCGTATGAAAATATACGCACTAGTCTTCCTAAGTTGTTGAGATAACGATCTGAAATTTTCACAAATCCATTTCTCCACAATTGCCGGAACCATCAATATCGGACCATTATAACATACACCTGGCATTGTTGTTGTAGTGGTAGAAAGTATTCCTGAATTATTTTGGAGGAATACTACAGGTTTGACAGTAATCTTCTTCATTGTCCAAAACAATGACATAAGGTCCGAAGATAGCGTTAACTGTTTAATTGGTCAGTTTGTATCAAAAAAGAGATTTCAAAGCTTTTACCGTTCACTGTTCTCACTTAAATTTCTGACATTTCTCCTGGTTAAGTTAGACCACATGAGCAATTGTATGTAAACACCATATTTGCGTGAATTTTGTATGTTCCGGAAAAGTTCCAACGTCATTCGACCGTTGTTTGTGTCATGGCGCCAGTATTATAAAAATTTCTTTWGCCAACACATCGTAATACTAGAAATACATACATTGTTATATATTTTTTAGATGCTTACATGATGTTAAAATCTAGTGTATGTATGTATAGACTATATCACAATGTTTTAAATTATATTAAATAACATGACAATATTAAATTATCCTAATATGTCATAAGAAGGGCATGTAAATTGTTGAATAAGTTGTACTTGTATGTATCTTTATGTATGCGAAACAGATTTACAGCCACGAGAAACATCTTCAGAAATTTATTCTACAAATATACGTATCTATGTGGATACGTTGTCAGATAATAAATGCGAGATAAGATAAAGAAAGGTAGAGAGCGCACTTCAAAGCAATTGTCACGAGCATATATACTTACATAGTACATGTACATGTGTAGTGGCGTAAAGAACAAAAAACAAATATATACAAAGGGTTGGATTACATTAAATGACGCAAATTAGTACATWCATACATATATGACTTTGTGATCACTTGGGGTAATTTAGTTTCTGAAAGCATCATATGTTTGCTTAATATATTCATATACATAAGTTAAACTAATTGAATTACAAATTGTTGCCGCAATTTATGTTTTTTGTACATATTTCCATTATTACATGATTAATTAATATAATGCTTTCAAAAAAATTGAAAATATTGAAATTGGAGTCTTGAAATTATTTATATTTTTTTATCCAGGCCGAAACCTTCATGATTACCGTCAACAGTTTGACATCTATAACATCTAATAGTTGCTATTGTTTTATAATTAAAATTTTCAATATTTTTTTTTTTTAAGTTTGACACCCAGAAGTGCACTTCAGCGACTCAAAGATATAGCCGTCTRTATATACGCGAACTAGTTTCTCAGATTTTTAGATATCGATCGTAAATTTTGCACACGCTCTTTCCTCCCCAAAAAGCTGCTAATTCGACCGATATCGGACCACTATAGCATATTGTTACCATACAAATTGTCCCATCTTAACACTCTCCTCCACCAAATTCACAGTGCCCATTTTCACAAACTGGCCAAAAAGGAGAAAGGATAAAAAAACGTAGTTAGCAACTTACAAGGCAATCGCCCGACCGGTCCTTAACTACGCCGCACCAATATGATGAGGCTTGTATGCTCCCAGTTAAGGATCATAATGAATTCAGGGATGACTGCAGGGAGCGTAAGCGCCTGCTAGGAGCATCAAGAGGCCATTCCTCAACTACGTCGACGACATCAAACAATATGCCGACTAGACTTCGGATGCAACTAAGTTCCAACAAGCACTGACCGCCATTCATAGTGGAGCCATCAACAACTTCACCGACTCCATTTCAGTAAATGGGGTACTTGCGTCCAACCACCACCAATTGCATACGAGGAGCTCGAGTTGCCGAAAGCAACAAGAGTGACCCTTGCGCAGTTTCGTTCTGGATACTGTAGCAGGTTAAACTCCTACTTATCCTGAATAGACCCTGACATATTTAATATATGTCCAGTGTGCAATGAGTCCCCGTATATCATTGGCCACCCCTTTGCATGGCCTGCTACCCCTACCCATCCGACACTCTTCTAGCTTTGGTCCGACCCCGTCGAAACAGCACGTTTCCTGAGCCTGGCGTTGGATGACGYTTACGACAACCTATCTAATCCTTAACATCCTACACATCCACATCCGTGGATTAAGGTACTCTTAACCAGCTGTTAAGCTTATTACGAGTATAGGTTCAGTACCGCCAAATTAACATTGTTTCGTTTTATTTAATAAATAAAAAGTGAAATGCTTATGGTGAAGTTTTTATAACTAAATGGTCTTTTATGCAGTTAAAATCTATACCAAGCTTTCTTGCAGGCTCAAACTTTTTATATATAGAGTCGTGATGCCACAAATTTGCTGCTATACATACATATGTATAATACAAATGCTTACCTATGTATGCGTGTATGCGCATTGACAGCTCGGTACAGGTGTACTTACACAGCTTTAAAACACTAATTACATACAAGCTTTCGGGAAAAAAAGTGTAAAAGGTTAGAAATTGCTAAGTGTGCCACGTGCCCCATTTTGGATACAAAATCAACCTACCTTACCTTAAATGCATATGTACATACAACTAACTAGTACATGTGAAGTAATTTTTGGAATATGCATATGTACGTATATAAATGCTTAATTCTCATGATAAAAATACCAAGTCTAGTTACTCAAATAAAGTTGTTCGATCATGACCGGTTGTAAGTTGGAGATACATACATATATACGTATTTTTATATATGGATGAATGTATATAAATTCAATTGTTCATATACATACATATATATTAGTTATTTATTTTTCTATAGGTGTATATATGCACGCTAATATGTTTACTTGTGTGTGTAGTATCACAGCACAGCGTTATCGCATTTCCTTACCCGTGTATATTTGCTTCTGTTGTCATTTTAACAAAGATAACGACAAAAGATAAATCAAAAGATAAGCTTTTTAGACATTAGCATATACATATATATACATATGTATATATATATATATATATATATATATATATGTGAGTGAGTAATAGTGCATTCAAGCTATATAAATACATACATACAGTTGATATATACGAGATCAACTTAGGCACAAATCACCTACTCCTACATAGATATTTTAGTATAAATATGTAAGCATATACTTAGGTTTTCTCATATATATGTGTACACATATGCCCTGTATGTAGTATTATTAGCTGGCGTCAGCAATATGTATAAGAAGCAAAGCATAAGATAATGAAAAGCATAGTGCTAAGTGCCATATGAATGGCGCTCAGTTGGAAGAGTGAGAGAGGCCAAATCTCTACTGGACAAATTGGATGGATAGTTTAATTGTTGACATAGACCCGACCGATACTCTCTTCAACACCACTGTTGATGTTGTTCTATTCGTTGTTGTTATTGCCGTCGTTGAGAATATGAGCGCCTCAAGTACGCTAAGTGGAAAATTCAACACAACCACGATCGCATAATAATGTTTATTTGGTTACTTACATAAATGTATAGTACACCAAGTASATACCTTTACTAGCTCATCTGTTAGTATATACCAGACGGTTGTTTCTAAAATTAAGCGCAAGTTTTTTGCAAATTGAGAGCAGCTTGTCACAGAGGTTATGCGCCAGAGCTTAAGCCGCACACATGCAAACAAACACACCGTACGCACCCACAAGTGCCTTCGCGTGCATACATTAGCCGACACTGTTGTGCCTGCATTTTGCAATAAAAGTAAAAATAACAAACTTAGTTGATTTTGAAAACAAAACAAAAAAAAAAAAAGTGTAGCTTCGACAGACGATTGCACAAACACATGCGGCGCGTATGTGTATGCGTGTGTTCACATTGAAACACATACTTATAAGCATTCAAACAAGTCCACATGCATGCAGCAATGTCCAGTTGTGTGCACTTACCAAGTTTTGATGGACGTAACCCAATAAACTTTCGAGAAAAGAATTTTTGAGCAGATTGCAGCATTGTCTTAGACAATAACCCATCCGTTTCCACGACAGTGTGTCTACGTAACCGGAATGGACCCGGATATTTATCCGGTCAAGGATTGTCAACTCGGCATAATTATGAATGTACAACAACAATAACCCATGATAGAGTTTTTTACAAGCATGATAGCCGATATTGGCGGTTCCGACAAGTGACCAACTTCTTGCCGAAAAAACCGATATTGGCAGTTCCGACAGAAGAGAGCAGCTCTTGAAGAGAAATGAACGGGTGCACGATTTCAGATCCATATTTCAAAAACTGAAGGGACTAGTTCGTGTATTTACAGACAGACATAGCTAAAACACCTGACCTCATTATGCTGATCATTTATATCTATATTTTTTAAGGTCTTCGACGTTTCTTTCTAGGCATTAGAAACTTTGCCACAATAATAGCCTGTTTAGGGTGTAATAAGCTCTCCTATTACAAAGATAAGCAATATCCTAGCTCGCGAAGTACGCAAACGCGAAATTATTTAAAATTCCAAAATAAAATTTTTAAAATTATAAATTTGAGCTTGACTTTTTTTATTTTTCAATCCGATATTTCGGGTTAAAATTTTTACCCGATTTTTTAGATTGAAAACTAATTTTTAATTTGTCAATTTGTTAGGAAAAATTTGAAWATTATTTTTAATGAAGTCTCTGGGTGTAATAAAAAATAATAATAATTTAAATTTTAGTGAAAATGCCTTTTTAATGCATTATTTGAAACCCGTGATTATCTTGATTAAATCGTGATGTTGAGATTAATTTTTTTTTTAATCACGTATTTGGGATTACTTTTTTTTTTACTTACTTTAAATTTTGAATGACATAAATTCCGATGTTTTTTTTTAAATCTCGCGTCTGGGATTAATTTTTTTTCAATCACGTATTTGAGATTAATATTTTTTAATTATTATTAATTTTTTAAATTTTAATTACATAAATCCCGATGTTGGGATAATTTTTTTTAATCCCGAGTTTAGGATTATTTTTTTTCTTTTTAATTCCGTATTTATTTTTAATTATTTTTCATTTTTACTGACTATTATTATTATTTTTGTTTATTAAAAATATTACTGTCATATTTGACAACATGATGACCATTTATGGCGCATTAATTAGATTAAATTTTTATTTTGTGTTATTTTTTAATGCACCTTGTTTACTGGGACATAACATACATAATAGAAAGCACAAAAAAAGTTAAAAATTACTCGTTATATACAGATATACTTGTATTGGYTGTTGCTGATGACTTCTGACTTGTGGCTTGTGGCTCATATTTACACTTGTCTCAATCTAAATTAGTTTCCTCATCGAAGTGAGAGCTTTTCAACGCAACGTTCTCTTTTGTACATGTTTGAGAATTGCAAAATCAAAAAAAAAAAAAAAAACGTTGAGAATTAAAAATTTCTATTCAACAACACTATATGTACACCGAGGCTTTGTGTGACTTAACTACCTTCTGTCTGCTTTAGATGTATATATATGAGTGTGTGTGTGATAATGCATGTGAAGAGTGTATGGAAAAGTGTGCGTGCTGGCCCGAGCCCGTGCTAGAGCCGGAGCACAGCCAGCCAGTGTACGAGCGGCCAGACAGTGGTATGAGAACAAGTCTAAATTGAATAGACTTCTCAGTATCATGGCGACGTTTAAAGCCTTCGTATTATAATAAAATTTTCGTTGTTGAAGCGTTCAACGGTTCGGTGCTGCGCGTACAATAACTATTTTTTTATAATATTAATAATAATTAATGTATATATATATATTTATACATATACATATATATGTGTAAATATGTGTATACCTATGTGGTGATTGTACGTGTGATTGTGTGCTAAGCTAAGCATAGATTATATATATTATATATCGCATAAAAATATGTATGTTCACATATAATTTAATCAACAAGTGCTGCTGGCTGACGGTTGGYCCGGTAGCTGGAAATGTATAAAATTTTATAACCGAATTCGCTACACAATTCACATTTCGAAGCGTGGAATTCATTAAAGTCTGTGAAAACTAAATTGATTTGAATAAATTGATGAAAGAAAAATATACACATGCTGCTGCGCTGCTTATGTGCATAAGTTCCACCTATACCCGCTGCTCACCATTAGTCATAAGTTGAATTGGAATACAAAAAGAGCTTTGCTACACTAAGTGATTTCAAGTTTCTTTAATTTTTTTCTCCAATATTGTTTTTTTTTCTACTCTTTTTTTTTTGTTGCTACTTTTTGCATGCAATCATTGTGTCTAATGTGTTTTAATAAAAAATTTGATTAACTTACTTTACGTAATACGCTCGTAGACTATAGCCTTATACTACATATTATGTATGTATAGTATATAATGTACATCAAAAATTTATCAAGTGTGAATAAGTGCTATTTTTTGTCTGTTTCTTCTTTTAATTTGTACGTTATACGCTTTGCGTGAAGTGAAATAATACGGCACAACATAACAAACTTACAAATACACACGCACGTACACACATGTTCATATGTGTTCATACAGTTCAATGTATGTTAAGGAGCGTAAAAAGCGTAAACGCGTTGTGAAAAATGGTGCATAAGAATCCCCTCTAATCTATAAGTATKATGGAGCAAAGTGAAAACGATAGACTAAATAGACAGCAACAAAGCAAAATATCGCTAGTTGAAAGCTCCTACAWATATTATTGCTTTTTTATACCCTGAACAGCACTTATTAGTACATTAAATTTGCCTGCCACGATGTTTCTAACATCTAAGATTGTTATAAAATTCTGGTCGTTTAATTCCTGTCCGTATGTTCGTCTGTATATGCGCAAACTAGTTCCGCGAAGTTTTTGAGATATCGCACTGAAATTTTGCACAAATACTTTCTTCCTCAAGAAGCTCCTAATTCTCGAAACCGGCAATATCGGACCACTGTAGCATATAGCTGCCAAATAAACTGAACGCTCAAAATCAAGTGCTTGTATGGAACACTTTTCTATTTGAGCAGACATCTTCACGAAATTTGGCATACCATGACGCGTCCAAAACAGCGCTAGAGTCTTCGAATAAAATGTTCAGATCGGAACACTATAGCCTATAACTSCCATACAAACTGAAGGGAAGTTTTGGTATGGGTACTTTCTTATTTGTGTAGGGTATCTTGTTATTGTTTTTTTTTAATTAGCAGACCGACAACTTGCGGAGCTAAACCACACTTGTAGCACTRTGTAAAACAATTTTGTATGTATTTATGTATGTATGTTGTTTATTGTGTGCATGTAGTTGACGTAATATTGCAATATGCGCTAAAAGCCGAAGTTCAAAAATTGCGTTAGTTTTTGCAATTGCTAAAATTATAGCGAATTCTGTGAAGAAAGTGAAATCTTTTATGCACAAAAAAAATTTATTTTTATTTATTTTTCTTTTTTTTAATTTAAAAAAATGTTTCTTATGTTATTTTAATTTAAATTTTTTTTTAACTTTATAAAAATTAAATTTTTTTTAGAAAAATTTATATTTTGTAGAAATTTAATTTGGGGTTATGTCTTAAATCTTGTTTTGCTTTGAAGTAAAATTTATAATTAGGAAAATTTTAAATTATTTTCCTATATATAGGAAATATATATAATTTTAATTTTATTAAAAGTTTAAAATTAAAAAAAAAAAATTAAATTCTTGCCTTACCAAACTACAACGCACACACACACACATGCATATATAAAATATATTAAACAAGTTAGCTTTCTGAAGCACCGTATAGTAATCGTAGGTCTGTAGCTAAGCTTTTTTCATTTTGTCATTGTTTAGCGATATTTTTGCTTTGCTGTCTGTCTGTCTTTTAATCTACAATCTTTCGAGCTTTTCTGACTACCTACCTACCTATCTACCGACATGTACCCACACTCTTCTCATTCACGAGATATGTGTGCGGTGTTTATTCGCGGTCTTAGCCGCGCCGATCAACAAACCACCCAACAGCAATTCAAAAGAAGAAAAAACAATAATTCCTCAAAGCTGAGCGCAAAAGTGTGAGTGTGTGTGCCATCATTTGATGCGACGCAGTTGATTTAAGCGCTGATTTAGATAAAAACCAAGCTCAATAAAGCTTACTAACTGCCAGCCGTGCAACGTAAGACTGGTATTTTTGAAAACGTAACGAAAAGGCACACACACACACACACATACGCACAGGAACGTGGATCTGCCGGAAAGCAGAAAGTGAAGTTCCCAACGGAGTCAAGTGGAGTTATATTTGTGTGTCAGCGCCAAAGAATAAGAAGAATAAGAAGATTGTGATGAAAGCCAAGCAATAAGGCGAAATGTGTGTAAGACTTGGCTTGGCAATTTCAGTTGTCTCTATTGCAGCGAATTTTATCAGCGTCTGAAGTTTGTGGAAACTAAAAATTATATTTATACTTTCACAAACACATGTCTATGTAGAAAGGTGGAGATGCGGAAATTGTTAAAAAGTGCGTGCTTGCTTGACAGCTAATGCCGTTTGTAACGGTTAACAAAGGTTTACAAACTATAAAAATATAAATGATAAAAAAAAATCATAATTTCTGCGCTTGTGTGCTTGAGAAACAAAGAATAAAATTTTTTTTTAAGATCAATTTTCAATTTATGCGCGTCGTGAAATCAATTACAATGTAAATTTGTATTCTTTAAAATTTAGTTGAAGTAAACAGTCAACGGTTTTGTGATTTTTATGCCAAAAATTTATAATTATATGTATATATGTATGTATGTGTAAGTAAATACGAGCATTAAAAATGTTCCAACAAATTTTTTCTACAAAACTGAAATAAAACGAAACAACAACAGCAGCAACAAAAGAAACGAAGTGCATAGTGCCAGGCTTCACTTATGCCAATATGTGCAAAGTTGAACTGGGACGAGAGGTGTATGTTAAAGTTGTCATATATAATATAAAACAAGTTATGGGCCAATTATCCAGTCATCACGACAAAAGAAACAACGAGAATCGCCTGTCGACCGCCACACATTTCAGCAATCGCAGTCATTCCATACGCAAGTCGAAGGTGCACAACAACAGCCATTCCACCTTGGAACCGCCAACGGCAACAGGCGAGGACTCGTCGCTGCTGCGCGTTGGCAATCCGCGCCTCAAAGGTCTCGCCAATGGCCGGCCAGTTACGATTAGTGAGATTGGCAAGCGTATAGATTTAAATACCAGTGATATATTCAGTAGTAAAGACAAAGACGCGAGTAGTATTGGCGGTGGCATTGGCAGCGGTGACGATGCCGATGACACATGGTCCAACAGCAACTTGTTGACGACGACAGTGCCGGCAACCGCCACACCACCGTACGCCACAACACCAATACCGTCAACGGAGAATGTAACGGCGAGCGCTACGGTCACGGATGGCGGCAGCGCATCCAAGAACAAGACGTCAGGGCATTTAACCATTGCCGATAGATATCACAAAACAAACAATTGTTATTATCGTAGCCCAAATGGAAATTTCCATAAATTACCGTCCGATTCTTACCACAAAATGACGGATGGCTGCTACGTACGCGCAGCCGATGGCACATTTCGACGCATTGAGCCGCCAAGTAGCAGTCTCATCAATGGCGGTTCGAATGGCGGCAAATTGCATCAACGCGGCGATGCTAGCGGCAGTTCGACTCGTATAAAAAATCAAATGTTACGTTTTTTGAAACGTTCTAAAAGTCATACGCCCGCTACATTGAAGGAATTGGACAAGGAACGAGGGAAGGATAAAGAATTGAAATCGAGTCGTGGACGTAAAGCGCGTTTTCCATCAACAATACAAGAGAATATCCCAACCACACTACCGGGTGGTGGCAAAACACCCAGTGGCAGCAATATAACRGCGGGTAGTCGTAACAATAAAGTTGTTGTAACCATGATGGAAGGTGGCGGTTTGCCAATAATAGCTACCAGCAAAGCGGAACGTTCCAAAAATAAAGATTCTTCAGCGTCGAACACGGCGGATGGCGCGCGCAGTGGGCGTTCAAGGGTATGTATGCCATGGTGTGCTCGTGCGCGTGCGTGTATGTGCTTGTATGCATTTTAAGCAGTACATAGGYCCATACTCTACATATCTATTATATACTAGTTCTTTACATAATTAAGTTTAGCATAGTTTGGCGAAATCTTGTACTTTTATAAGTAATTTAGCTTTCGAGTGGTGAAAATGTTTCAATACCGTTAATATGTCTGTAAAAACATCAATTAGTGGGTATGCGCTCAATGGTGGTAGTTTTAAGGTTTTTTTCTTTTTATCAATATACCACAATTTGTTACATACTATATTACAGTTTAAGTGTACATTCTCACATCGTAGTGACATTTCAGCGTGCTTTAGTCGAACCTTTTTCTTATGCTTCAATCATGATTTTTTTCGGATATATCAATCAAAATTCTGCGCTATTCTATTTATTAGTTTTTACATTATCTAGGGTTTTCATGGGTTTCTTGTCTATATTCTAATGAAAAAAACCTTAAAAACACAAAATTTATGGTATACTTAAAAATTAAATATTTCGTGAATTTAAATTTTCAAAAAATAATATAAATGAAAAACTTCTCATACACAAAAAAAAAAGCATACCAGCTGATCAAATTTGACCCGGACTGGCACATAAATACTAAATTTTCACGTATTTTAATACAAATCTCTATTATCGCTTTCGAAATAGGCTCCTGAGTCAATAAAAAAATTCCAGAGAGGTAATGCCATTTTTCCATACATTTGTTATAAACCTCGACTGAATTTCGAATTATTCTTATTTTCCATGCATTTGTTATACGCCTTGAATGAATTTCGAACTTTGGTTTTTTCGGTTTTGGCAAATTTTTGGAGTGTAATTTTCTGACAGTTTCGATGTCATATTCATAAATTCTCGTCRCCAGTAAAAATGCGTTTGAGGATTGAATGCCACTTTACCTGAACCTAAATAGTTTTGAATGATATTTGAAAAATTTTTACCATGTATGTTACARTTCGCTCCATTCAAAAAAGATTTTGAACATTTCAGTTAATAATGTCTTAAATAACAAAGCAACAATTATCTACGAATTTTTTTTAAATATATAGTCATATTATTAAACCGCAAGAAATCGAATAAAAAATAGTTTATTATTTATTTTTCAGCAGAACGTAATAATTTAAAAAGCAAATAAGCTATAGAACTCAGTTTAACTCAAAATATATGTATTTGTATATACTTTCATCTGACTATTACTGATTATTACATTGCCGTGTAGAGGTCAATTGTGTACCATTTCTTATCAGCATAAATTGCCACTGGAAACGACACTTTTTTGCGTTTGATTTCCAATTCTAGCAAACTTTTGCTAAAGTGACAATTTCACTGCGATTAAAAAATTCGCCTCAATGCAAGAGACTGCCCCAGTTTTCTTTGTGTGTCTTTATGTGCTTACGATGAACTCATTTTAAAGCATCACAAGCGTGTATTTTCAATTCATTTTCCAGAGTTTCTGTCACAATTTTGTTTTAAAAAACATGATTTTTATTAAAAAAATTTTCTCCAAATTTCATGAGAGATTACGGATTTTATCAATTTGTATGACATTTGTCGCAACCTTTTTCTGATAGGCATGAATGAATGCTTTAAAGTAATTAAAAATCTTGTTAAAGTGAAGGTTGTTAGTGTAGTGCTTTGCTCTCTGTTCTCGAAGAACTTTTATAGTTATATTTTACACTTACTATTCCAATCCTGTTTTAGACTTTTATTTTCCTCTTATCGTTTATTCTTACGCCGTCCGGATCGTTGAAGATAAAATGCGGTTCTTTAGTTATTGTAAAATTTAAATTTATTTTGGGATTATTTCTGTCTATGTTTATTCTACCCACTACGATAAACGCGGTGAAGTTGTCAATATAAAGTTTTTTTTTATTTTTAAGCACACATTTAGGACTTTGTAGAATGAGAAATGTTTTTATTGCAGTTTCCTTCTACTTTCTAGTTTTAGTTTTCTTATCACATTTAATATACTAAATACAAAAAACTCTTGCAAAAACTACAAGTTTTTTATATTCAAGGGCAAGTTGTAATCGGGGATGGACTTTTTAAAACTATAATTTTTTCACAACTTGTTAATTAGTTAGTTGTTTCATTGTTGTAGCAATATATGATTTTTTCTATTTTCTGAAAGGAATATTTGCAAATTTCTTCGAGCACTGAAGTACATGAAATATATTTAATTTTTCTCATTAAAATAGGCGGTTTCACGAACCTAATTTAAGTAAAAAAATAATTTATTTCAGTTTCACCATTTAATTTAATTTTTATTTGCCATACTTTGCCATTTAAATATTATTTAAATAGGGTCATAAATACAATTTATTTGTTTACATAAATCACCTGTTACTTTTACTAACATCTCTGTCTTACAATTTTTGGTATGCTAAATGTGAATAATGGTGAAACGTAGAAAACATAAGTCCGAAGTTCAATAAAAATTAAATTTAACTTAATTTTCAATTAAAATTTTCCGTGAAACCAGCTGTTAGACTAGAATGTAAAAGTATTAAAATTTTATTTCCTTTTACTACTACAACTTACTTTTTGAAATAAATTTAATTTTTTCTTAAAACGAATCTGATTTTTTTCARATACATATTTGTTCTTTCGTCTGCGAAAATCAAATTTATTCTTTTAAAAAATTTAAATTTTTCATAAAAATAATATTTTTTTTAGCTTCTAACTTCTAAAATTATTCTTTTAAAAAATTTATTAGATGTGTATNTTTTAAAAAATTTATTTTTTTCTTTTAAATATTTTATTTTTTCCTAAAAAGCATCTTTTTCCAACAATTGTTTATATCTTATTTCTACTTAGAACTGAGTTTTTGGGTTCTTMTTTTTTAGAGATTTTACTGCATTTTGTTGGTGACATACATACAAATACATACTTGCATTTCTTTAGGTTATAATTTTATCGCATCTGATGTAATCGATTAAAATAGTTTGAAGTTATACGAAACAAATTACAAATTAAAAAATAATAACTAATATTTCCTGAGTTCTACGGAAATTTTATTTACACCATTCACAAATGTTTGGCAATTGCTTATTAAATTCACATTCATCATTTCGAAAGTCAAGTGTTAGAATTTATCTTTGCAAAAGAAAGCAAGCTAACTCAAGCTTACGGTATATTKGAGCCTTAGCGCGGTGTGTTGAGGTCTTAGCGTGTATGACTTACGATTTTATTGAGTTTTGTACAATTGATAGTCAGCATTATATTTGATGGATGTCATTATAGAGCCGCCAGTCATCAAGACAGACGAATCTCAAATAGATATTCGTTATTCGGTACGGTTGTAACTATTCGTCATGCTATCACGAGCGTTAGTTATAATTGTATACTGATTTTACTGTTCGCTTTGCATTGCCGAACATTATTGTTGAGCTGGAATTTTAATGAAATTTTTTTTCTTTTTTTAAACATTGAATAAAAAAAGTATCAGCAATTTTGTATAATATATTTTGGTTCTTACGCAAAAAACTCACAAATTGAGCAATATCTTAATACACATGCTTATGCGTTTGAAGCTTTATTTTTTTCATTCAACATTATGAACGAAATGCATTTCAGGTATTATTCAATTCAATACGCTTTGTAGTTAACAATTAAGAAAATATGAGTCATCGGCGATAAACAACGTGTTTGCGCGTATATTACAACATTTATGACTTTTGGTGTATGTATTGAATGTATGCTCCCATACATAAGTATATGTATGTATGTGTGTACCTATGAGCTACAACCAATCACTGTAAAAGCCAAGTTGTTTTTTTTTTGTTTGTTTTGTTTTTGTTTTGTCTCTGGTGATAAGATCGAGTTTTTTACACTACTTTTAACTATATGTTTGTATATATACATARCTATGTTAGTGTTAATTAATATCTAATAGCTTTTTATATTTTTTATAAGCACACGTGTTTGTTTGTCTTATTACAAACTAAATGTATATAAATGTATATAATTTTTAATACACATATCTTCTAAACATCACATATCAAATAGAACATTGTGCACATTGCATCGCTAATGTATTAAGTTAACTTAATTCGTAAATGTATGTGTGTATTTACAAAAAATGTACATCCGGTATGCTAATGTTGAGCGTTTCTTTGTCTGTAATCTGTACAAATTAATCGGTTTTAACTGTTGAAGCATCCTTATTTCGCACAACATTTATTGTTCTTTTTTTCTACTTGTAGTACTTTAACAAGTGAATCGTAAACTGAAAGCTAATTTTTTTGTTGTATTTAATTTCAGATGTTTCAGCTACCCACCCTAATTCCTAAAATACTTTTAAGCGAATGCAAAAAAACTATTATTTACATACATAAACTTATACATATTTTTATTAATGAAAACAAAATTAGCTGTATAATTTCGCATGTATGATAGTGCTATGCATTTTGTGCCGTGGAAACAATTATTTTGGCCAAAAACAATGTTTATATAATTTGTAAAGTACATGCTTAGCTCTAAAAAAGTGAAATTTGCACCCAAAAAATCTTGTTACTGAATTAACTGCAGCACAATGGATCTTTGTAGAACCGTCAGTACACAAAAGTTGAGCAWATACATATGTACGTATAAAAGTAATTTTCTTTTATAAATTTACGATTTAGGGGCAACACATAGCGGAGTGAGTGCGCCCCCATTTTCTAACTATATTACTTTCTATCACAGTTAGTATTTTAAACCTGCAGATGCTTTTTCAATTACGCTTGAATATTTTCTTGCATAAAACAACAAACTTTCATCTGCGCAGGCTTAGCATTCGATATACATATAGTATGTACATATATATTATTAGTTAATTACTAATCTGAAGTGCCAAGCCCGTTATATACGCTGACTCCAATCATGTCTACGTTTTGATTTTCGCCAATTATGTCACTCAGGTGGTGAAACTAATAGAAATTTTGTTGAAAAATGCACACAGCAGCGATTGCTTTCACAGTTTAGAACAAACTGATGATTAATATCTGTTCTGAGTCATTAGTTTTCCACAAATTTTTAACAAAATACGTGTTTCTTTTGAATTTTGTGATTTTAAGATCGATTATGGCACGTTTATTTTATTAATTTTTTGAATGGCTAAAATCTACATAGATCTATTGTGTTGTTCACATATACATACATAACGTATAAGCATATACATATGTATCTGTAGTTAATGGGTAGATTGCGCGATTTTCTCTTTAAACGGTTACAAATGCAGATTTTTTATCAGAGTAATGAGTTAGATATGAATTCCCACACGTGAGATAATGAAGTTTCACGCATATTAAAGTCGTTTGTCAATTATTATTTTCTTTAAAAAAAAAATTTTATTTTTATTTTTTTTAACCGTTAGCGCTAAATCGTCATTTGCTAATTTGAAATGAGGCGTATTTGTGCACTCAAAGGCATTATGCTATTAAAACATTTGTCTAATAGAATACTAACATCGTAAGCTTTTTGTAATTTGATTGTATAATTAGTTTTTTTTGTACACTTATAAATAATTTTCTTTTTTTTTTATCGTTTTTAATATTCCATTCAACATAAGCTGTTTTAACAAAAACACCCACAGATACGTATAGGCTTTTGTATGTATATGTTCTAAATATAAGGTAGTTGTTAAGCTTGTATTTATTCTATTTAGCTAATAAGGTTGTAATAGCACCGAAAACCAGTTAACTTTTGTAAGAGCGTGCTTTAAACGTGCAGATCATGAGTTATCAGAATACTCCGTATATATTTATATTTTTTTCCATTCACAACTGCATAATAGAACCTTTTATTGTTTTTTTTTATAAAAATATAGAAAAATAATAATAAATGAAGAAAACGTGAAGCACACAATCAGCAAAACATTCATGAGTAGTAATAACTTTATCTTTAAACAATAAAATGTCTGCTAATTCAATATAGTATAAGGAACCGAAATCAACGTTCGTATGTACAAGGAGATATTCATACATACAAACATGCCTAAATGAATTATTTGCATGTGTGAAACGTTTCCTAACTTCAGTTTCATTTTATTTCTATTTTTGTGCTATTTACATATTAATATCTGGGACTTGTTGCACAAATTACTTTTTTCTTTTGCTCGCGCGTGCCTCCAAAACTTGTTTCTCACTCATACCCACACATTTATATATTTATCAAATAATACATATTTATATATGCCATCTAGTATATTTAGAATAGCGCTCACGCTCGCACGCACTATTTACTATTAAAATACAAATGTGTGAATTTAAAATTTATAAAATGAACAGCTGTTTTTTGTTTATGCTACAAACCTAGTGTTGCCACTCATGCACATCGATTTATGATTCGATTTAAAAGTAAAAGCTTGCAGAAGCCAATATTGAACAGATGCTTCAAAAACAAAGCATAAAATTAATAGTGCAATATTGTGAGTGTATACGTGAAATGCAAAGTAAACGACCTTGAAYAGAAATTTTCAATATGCACATATATGTATGTATGCATATATTTACGCATATACTTATTACGTATTTGACGGACTGATAACTAGAACACAGCGTCGTTCTAATTGCATACATTGTTCTGCTTTCTATATATAAGGGTATTTTGGTTTATATATATCATGCATTTATTTTTACTTTACAACATGTTTTTGGTGACGGCCAAACGTCAAGGTGTATTTAGACTATGGGTTATTTGTTCTAAGTCAGTTTGAATTATTTTTTATATTTAACAAATATATGCTAAAATTTATGTATATTTGTTTTATAACAGTAATTATTTAAATAAAGCGTATAAAAAATCAGTATACAGATAAACTTATCAAGGTTGGCATATCATTAATAGATTATTGCCTTCAAAAAATTTTGCACAATGCAATTATCTTCAGAAGAAAGCTCAAAATGAATATTAAAATGTCGAAACAAGCTTAAATCGGAACATTTTAATACATAATTACTACTATTTCATTAAATACTAAGATAATGTTATCAAAATATTGGAACCTATGTGACGAGTGCGAGAAATCGCTTTCATTAATTTCCTAAACTCATCTTTTGCTAATTATAGCTGTGTGTGTTACTAATTTAATAAATTATCTATGTTAGAAAACACCAAATTACTTGCTAAAAAATGTAACTCACATACATTTCACCATGTATGTATATTTAACTCAACTTCCTTAAGGTCTGCACTTTAAAGCACGAAGCAATAAGATTTTATATTAATTATATAATATAATTGTTATGCACATCTATAGAAATTCGAATGTGATATGACGGCAACCGTTAATTGTGTAAATTATTTTAGTAAACAAAAGTAATTGTGACTTTGTTGTCACATAAATTGTTGCGAATGAGTTAATCTACATTTATTATTGACCCAACTTATTTAATGTTCTAATTTTAAAACGCCATATTTGTTCAATGCACCTTAACGCGAATCACGTCTGCGACAGTGGAAAATTACTTAACGAACTATATAGTTAAACTAATTCTAAAACAAATATTTGATTGCACATTTTTTTGTTGTTCTAATGTTGGAGAAAACTACTTCCTTTAATTATAATTACTGAAATGTGAGAATTAGAAAGTAAAGATAAAAAGTGTATAGCATGAGTTGATGTGTACACGCGGATTAACACTTTCTGGTTAATTACTTGAAAAACTTATATACATATTATATTTCATAAAATACATATTTCGCTCGTTAAATTTATAATTAAATTTATATATTTACTTATTTGGAGCACAAGTCTAAGGCTGTGTGCTTAATATATTAATAAACAAAGTGACGTAAGAAAAACGTTTTTTTAAACCTTATAAACCAATTAACGTCACGCTAAARTCACATGTTTTAACTTGATATTTTTATATTTTTTCGGTAAATGCATTTTTCAAGTGCTTATGCTGCTCGTATATTTATTTATTTAGTTGATAATTTGTTATTTTTCTTCGAAAAGGAAATTATTTTCTTCGAAATATTACTCAATAATTTTTAAATTTTTGTGCAAATAGAAAACTATTTTTTTCACATATTTTTTTATCTTCAGAAAATGTTCGTATGACTCCCACTGTACTCAATTTTACGAGTGCTATAATTTATAGTATGTTTTAGTAAAGTATAATGTATGCATTTTGTTTTGTATACAATTTCATTCGCTGATTTATGTGGCAACCTCAATACTATTTTAATTGCAACTAGCTCATAAGTTTTTATAATCCCATAATTTGAATTGTGCTTATAAAAATGTTTGTTTTCTACAGAAATCAAACAGTTTAAATAATGGTATGCCTGATACTATATAGAAATACTACTGACTAACAGCACCACGATTTCTGTTGTGTACCAGGCTACGTTTTAGTGTTACATTTTTTTAATTCGGCTTAACACATATTTCGTGAACCTACAGTTTTATTTTAGACTGGAGATAAAAATAGTAAAAAAAAACAAATACAAATCTTGCAACAACTCTATTTGATAACACATATAAAATAACACGTTGCACACGCGCGCTAGTGTGTGAACCATAAACAGAGGAGTTGCAACGGTTAAAAAGTGATAGCTTTATTTAAATAAACTCAACTTGAATATTATTTGGTCATGCGAGAAATGGAAACTCCTGATTTGAATCGTAGTGATAGTACGCGCAAAAGCTTTCGTTTGCCAACGCATCGTAAGGGCATGGCACCAGCACCACCGACCATTACAAAAGTCGATTTAAATATCGATGACAATAGTGATGCAGTTGTCGGAGGAATTGATACACAACAATCAATTACCAACGCTGATGCTGTGGACGAATTGTATTTAGTACAGGGCTCGAACACGCAACGCTCCTCCAACGAAAATAATAATATGAAAAATATTGTGGATAATTCGGAAATCATACCACGACTCAATCGTATGACCTTAGCCAGAGAAACGGATATTATTATAGATGAAGATATGGTGCGACTGCGCAATAGAATACCAACAACACGCAATGCCGCCTCATCGATAACACCATACACAACATCAGCAATGGATAAAAAATTGACCAAGGAGCCCACTTTGGTGCTCACAGCTGAAGATGATGTGAATGTGTCGTTTGCGCTCGGCTCCATTGAGAAGCATATTTTCGAAATGGAAGAAAGCTTCAAGAAAATGGAAAATGTCAGACAACCAAGCATTGATGAATTGAAATTGGATCGCAAGAAGCAAAGTAAACGCTATGGCGAAACGGAGAATTTACTACAGCCCGGCAATAGTGAAATGGCCTCGGGTACCGGTTTCAGTTATCTAACGCCACCCTCCGATTTGGAGAATTCGAGCGATTCAATCACCGATTTTCAACGAGGCACTGGCGCACGCAGCTCTGTCGGCGCATACTCCAAAGTCGCTACAGCACCGTATAAAACGAAGATTACGCGCACTTCTTCCGACAGCAAGAATACCGAAACAATGGCAACGCGTGATATTATCAAACAGAAGAAGATTGTGGCCAATAAAGAGTTACCAACGCCATCACAAGCACATGCTAGAGACGCTATGCGTTATGGTACTGAGTCGAAACGTATTATCCCCAGTATGAATACCCCAAATACCAAGGCGAACAGCGCCACCACTCCGACTAGTGGCGCTGGTGGTAAAACGATCTCGCAAACAGATGGTGCTATAATCGATAAACATCGTGAAGAGAATTTGAAAAAGTTTGAATCGATGATTAATCAACGAGCGGCTGCTAGTAAAACTGCAGCTGCTAAGCATGCGCAAACGGCACGTATGCCGGTCGTGCCCGGCGAACGTATGTCAAGACCTACTAATACCATTACAACACCACCCAAAGTGGCAGCAATGTCACATATGCCATCGGCAACGGGCGAAAGGACCGCAACGACAACTGCAACAAATGCTGTGCACACTGTTTACAATAATCGACATGTTGGCAATGTAATGCACAACAATCAGGTAAAGATTGCGCATAGGGTAAGCATTTACGTTTGTCGTACAAATCAAATCACTTGTATAGTCCTATTATATAAGAAGTGTTACTATTACTACGCTTGTAGTTAGCTTTAAATAGCACACAGGCTAACTTTGTAATTATGAAATATTAATTTTATTTTTTTGGCATTATGTAAGTTCTATTTTTAGTCTGGTATGAGTTAATGGCACAGGTGAAAGCATACAAAGTAGTGATTGTAAAAATTGCCCGCTTAACGCTGTTACATCTAATGCTCACTCACCCAACTGCTCCACTGATGTGTCATATGTGACTTAAATAATAAAAGTTAAATCCCAAAAATACACATTTAATCTATAATCAACTCAAAATCACCGATAATGTATTGCACATTTCACATAACAAACGACCTAAACAAAAATCAATTGCGTATGAACCAAATATTTAACAAAATTATTGCATTACAAAACTAACGCTCGTTCATGGGGGCATATAAATATAGTACGTAGGTGCGTATATATCCATTTCGAAATGGTCGTTAACCTTTATACCGATCACCTTCGTTCTCTAAGCCGATCCTACATTTTAATCAAATTCATGAGTACTAAAATTAATATGTATTTTTGTATATTTTTGTAACTGTCGTTAGTTCTATATTAACATGTTCACTAAAAACTTGCTCAATTAAAAATTTCATAATGTTTAGTGAAATTGTTGCATACTTATTGGCGCGCTACCATTTTTTTAAATAACTGCGATTATTTACAAATCTATAAACATAATTTGTGTAAATTCATGGTAAAATTATGCGAAATGAAATATTTCACTACACACAAACATTAGCATTACGTTCATTCAAATGCAGTTCTATACTAACAGCCGGCTTCACGAAAACTTTTAATTGAAAATTAAGTTAAAGTTAATTTTACTTTTTATTTAACTTCAGACTTAAGTTTTCTGCGTTTCACCATTATTCACATTTGGTGTCCCAAATGGACACTATAAGACAGGGATGTTAGTAAGAATATTAGCTGATTTATGTAAACAAATAAATTATATTTATTTGCCAAATCAGCTGATAGCAAAACTTAAACATAGTTGCATATGACCGTATTTAAATATTATTTAAATGGAAAAGCATGACCATTAAAGTAAAAATTTAATGAAATGGTGAAACTGAAATTAATTATTTTTCACTTAAATTAGGTTCGTGAAAACAGCTGTAAGTGTTTGTTGCGCACCCTATCAAATTGTTTGAAGAACAAGAGTTTTCTTCTTTATAATTTTTTTAAAGGTGCACTTTACTTTAACTTATTTTAAGGTCGATGTACTCTCATGCATATTAAATTGTATGATTGTATAAAGTGTGAAAAATTGAACGCATTTTTTCATTCATTTATTCATTCATATTTTGAGGTTATAGTTTAACCAAAAAATAAATTAACTGTAATCACTAAACAACAGAACTAATATACAGGAAATATATGACACTGACTATATTTATTAACTTTCTCTCCCGTAATTACAAGTTCCAGCAATTACTTGCATTCATCTGTTTCCTCCCCTATATTCCCAATTTTTTCGCTGCGTGAACGAAGTATGCTCTCATTCACGTCATAAAATAATGAACCGAAGTAATATTTTTCGAATTGTAGCCAATTGTACACAAAAACAATTTGTGTATGTATGTGTGTATGCCGCAGCACACCTATTTGCCGAACATATTCCGACGCTGTATATGGAAACTGCACCATTACAAATTAATGTTCGGCCTAAATTTGTTGTATTTCCGCATTTGGTCTACGTAAAGAAAGTAAAGAAAGAGGCAATGATAATTGTAGAAATAATTGTGCGATTTTCAAAGTCAACATTTACCGTTCGAAATGCTTACGCGCATAATAATTAGTTAGTATATAAGTCAATGCGTTTAAATGTGCGTAAACGTCGATTTATTTTTTCAATGTATTGGAAGAAAAATGGGGAAAAGTTGAGTTTTTGTTACGCTAACGCTCGTTATAACAATATCTTTAGTTATATTGTTAGCTAACTGTTGTAAACGGTGCCACTCAACAAATAAAAACTGCCTAATGTATCTCTAAAGATTTTCCAACACTTTCCAATATTTTTTAATTACTAAATGGGGTTTAGATTTTGGTAAAAAAGAACAAAGAAAACAACATTTAAGCATTATTTATTTCTTAATCAGATTCTACAGACGATCCCTGTTCTTTATAAACAAATTTGGGTACCAAAAAATTAATAATCTAATTCTGCTCCAACAATAAAATAGCCTTCACAGATTCATTTCTTATAGCATAAGAGGGTATAAACAATTTCTCATCGGTCAGTTTGTATGTAAACTATGTATATGATACCATATTTCATGAAGATATCCCGTCAAAAAAAAAAGTTTTCCATACAACTACTTGATTTCGATCGATCAGCTTATATTCTATAGTACTTGATCAGCGGTTCTGGCAAATGAACAGTTTATACCCTGTAATAATTTTTTTTTTCTCTGTTCAGTTTGTATACAGAAAAAAATTCACTTTCATCAACTTAGGTCGCTGTTTTTTAGGGGGTAAAACTTATATACTTATATACCGACTTGTTACTACTTGCTTTTCGACGTACATATCTGTGAGATCTGTTGCTGATATTCATAAATATAAGAAAAAGTAGATTTTTTTTYTAATCTTTTTTTTTTAATAAATAAAATTTCTACTCACAAAATTGTTGTTGTACAATTATATAATATCGGTGAAATGTAGAATTGGATAACTGAAATCCACATGGCTATTTTATTTCTAAAACTAAAAAAATACACCTTGAATAAAAAAATAATACAAAATTTAAAATAAACTAATAACAGGTATTTATGAAACCCACAAGTAACCAACTAGTTTGCTGAAAACATTGAACAACCAATGGGTAATATGATGCTTTGGAAATTGCAGACAAATTTTTTTAGTATTTCTTTGGAATAATAAGTAGTATAAGAACATTTTTCAAAATTCACATGACTTTTTTTTATAAAAAATTGAAATTAAAGTAGCCTAACGTGGCTAAAAACCACGAAGCGTTTAAAGCTGTTGCGCATGTTTATAAAGAAATGTTTCATGTGATTATCAGAAAGATGTCAGAAAATAGGTTACTTACACTTACACACCCACATATATACACTATACATAATTAAATTACACATTATTTATGTTTAAAAAGTGTTTTATCACAGTTAATTTTACAAATGTGGTTTTCTCATTTTTAGGGCTCTCCTAATATGCAGCTGCGCACCAGCGCWCCAATGCGTTGGCGTGCCACGGAGGAACATATTGGAAAGTATAAGCTTATAAAAACAATCGGTAAAGGCAATTTCGCTAAAGTAAAATTAGCTAAGCACTTGCCAACTGGCAAAGAAGTGGCTATCAAGATTATTGACAAAACCCAATTGAATCCGGGATCTCTACAGAAACTCTTTAGAGAAGTAAGTGGCGAAAATTTAAACAATCACAATTAAAAAAAAAGTAAGAAATATTAAATGTGAATTTCCATAACAGGTTAGAATTATGAAGATGCTCGACCATCCAAACATCGTGAAGCTTTTCCAAGTTATCGAAACCGAAAAGACATTATATCTGGTTATGGAGTATGCGTCCGGCGGTGAAGTATTCGATTATCTTGTCTTGCATGGTCGAATGAAGGAGAAGGAAGCGCGTGTAAAATTCAGGCAAATCGTGTCGGCTGTACAGTATTGTCATCAAAAGAGAATTATACACAGGTTTGTGTTTTTTGGTGTTATAAATTAACAAAAAGCGTCACATTAATTACTTTTATTTTTCTAACAAATATTTATTAATTTTATAAAGGGATTTGAAAGCGGAGAATCTGTTGTTAGACAGCGAATTGAATATAAAGATAGCAGATTTTGGTTTTTCAAATGAGTTCACGCCCGGCTCTAAATTGGATACATTTTGTGGCAGTCCACCATATGCTGCACCTGAATTATTTCAGGGAAAGAAATATGATGGTCCTGAGGTGGACGTTTGGTCTTTGGGCGTAATTTTATACACATTAGTTAGTGGTTCATTGCCATTTGATGGTTCCACATTAAGAGAACTACGCGAACGTGTACTCAGAGGCAAATATAGGTAGGTCGTATGGTCAGTCAAAAAGTGTTATAACCACACTTTTTTTGTTTATCTTATTTGAATTAATTACCTTTACTTATTATTGTCATATTTTAATTATTAGGCTGTTTTRTTTGGCCAGCAAATTAAGCTATTAGCTATTAGCTTATTTTGTATGGAAGACAACATAATTATGTCGGCTTGTTATAAGCTACCATAGCTTATGTATTGAACTAGAGGCATTGCYAACTCATCGCTTTTTTCATTCACATAAGCTTTGATTTTTCCAAAAAAGTAGTTGGCAATAACGATAAAGTTTAATTTGACCGATGAAAATGTAAACAAACCAAAWTTACAAATTTTGTGTTTTGTTTAAGTTAAAATTAATAYAAATATGAACATTTGTTATAACTTTTGTATTAATATCATCAAATGAACAAAAAAAATATATTTATATAGTAATTAAATACTTAGCACGCATATTAATACATTTTGTGTTTAATTATTTTGCCTTGATGCTTGCTAAACTTCTTTTTATTTATTTATTTTATTTGTAATAATTACTTTTTCTTATTAATATTATATTTAAATTATTAAMACACTTAACACGTTTATGTTACGCTTTCTAAATTCGCCTTAACACTTTGAAATTCATCGCTATATAACTTTTTTCTTAAATAGGATTCCTTTCTATATGTCAACTGACTGTGAAAATTTACTTCGTAAATTCCTTGTATTGAATCCAGCCAAACGCGCCAGTCTGGAAACTATAATGAGTGATAAATGGATGAATATGGGGTTTGAAGATGACGAATTAAAACCCTATATCGAACCAAAACAAGATCTAGCTGATCCCAAACGGATAGGTAAGACGGGTACTGTACACAAAATAATACCTTGACTTTATTTGTGTGTGTAGTTAGATAGAAGTGTTTTTCCCCCATTAATTAATGCCCGCATGCATTTTCAATTATCCAAATAGTATTATATATACATATGACTTTAATTTTGAATTGGGTGAACAAGTATTAACAAATGAAATTGTGATTATGCTGATTTGCTGATTGAAGTGAATCAGTTAAATTTTTGTACAGACAAAACGAACTATGTGCAATAAGGTCTAATGAAAATTTATTTTTAAAATGTATAATATACAAATATATAGAACATTGTTTTCGATAATAATTTGTGCGTTTTCTTCTATATTACGGAAGGATAAATGTTGTGCCCAAATACAATTTTTTTGGAGATTTTTTTTTAAGGTATTTCCTATATGTGTGTATATAATTTGWTTTAGATACGTATTTCCTTATACGAATTTTAAATTGTAGTTTACATATTGTTTGTATCTCTAAACGAATAAGTACATATAAATACTTTCCTAACTCATTTGAAACTATGTAAATACCAATAGTACAAAAAATTCGTGCTCGAGCCAACAACAAATGTTGAAGTTGCGATTTATCATTGTGAGTATAAATTAAACTTGAATTTCCATTTAAAAAAATACAATAAAATAAAAAACATTTAAAGGCCACATAAAATTACAACACATACAAATAAAGCGTATGTACACATGATTCAAATGGTACACATGGCATACTATTATGTCACATATGTTTGTGTTTGTGAATTTGAAGTCAGCTAAATTAGTTATAAATACGTTATGCTGAGAGTTAAATGTTTAGAAATTTACAGATTTATTGAAATCAAAGACAAATAAACATTTAGGCAGTTACTTAAGTAAAAATTTGGGATGAAATAAGGTTGAGGTTACATACCACTCAGCTACTTTGCAACACGTAATAAACTTAACAAAAGTATATAAAAGCCGAGATCGAAATTTCGTATTTCAAACACATTTGTGTATACATAAAAAAACATAAAAAACCTTTGAAAACTACATGTTTCTCTACAAATAACTTTATGATAGTTTTTTAATTTTTTTTTTTTTTTTTTTTTTTTTGTATGAAAATTCCTTTACAAACAATTTCAAATTTTGTACAAAGCCAAGCAAAGTTCGAAAAATCATTTAAAAAATAACACCTAAACATTTGTTACAAAAGCGCCTTCCATGGACTTCAATAGAAATCACTTTTACAACACACATAAATTATGCCAGACTAACGCCTTGTGAGTGATTACCTACGTAAATGTTAAACAACGTATACAACCCAATCCTCTTTAGTAATTTGAAAACTAGATTTTTCTTTCATAAAAAAAATAATAATAATAATGACCACAATTTGTTGGGCATTAATAAGCACACATTTTACACAAATATCTAACACAAAACTTTTCTTCCAATGAACTCACCGAACTGCAGAGGCTCTAGTGGCAATGGGTTATAACAGACAGGATATTGAAGTTTCACTCTCCCAGGTGCGATACGATGATGTCTTCGCTACTTATCTCTTATTGGGCAGAAAAAGCACAGATGTAAGTGTAAACTTTAATGAAATGAAAACACAAAAATTTTGTTTTCTTTTATAATTTGATTTAAACATATGCCAATTTACAGCCTGAAAGTGATGGTTCACGTTCTGGTTCGTCACTATCGTTGCGTAATATGGGTGGAAATGATGCGGGCGCTAATACGAATGCGTCCGCACAGAGTCCCACACATCGTGGTGTACACCGGAGTATTTCCGCTTCAAATACGAAACCAAGTCGACGTGCTTCATCTGGCGCTGAAACACTACGTAAGTGACTGATTTTTTTTATTGTTGTTTTAAAGCCTAGACATAGTAGTTGCAAATCAATCATTGTAGTTGTAGCGCATAACGAAAAATACGCTTTTGGAAATTTGCTAGCGCTAAATCTGCGAACAAAAAAAAACAAAATTGAARTTTTTGAGAAATTGTTATTATCAGTATTTTATAATTAAGAATGTCATTTGCATCAATTCGCTTGCATTTTATTTATTTTAACATTAGGTTTGCCCCCTTAAGTCTAACTCTTCTTCTTTCTTATTTCGGATTTGGCGATAACAAATTTCAGAGCTGACTTTTCTACGCTTTGAATCTGGCTTTTATTCAAACAATATTTGGTCATTTGAAATATATAAATTAAATAAAAAACTAAACTTTATTTCAAATTCAATAAAATTTTCACATAATTTCATACTTTATAAAACTAGTTTACGCATATACATTTTAACTTATTTAAAATTTCGCAATTAATCATGCACTTTCTTCAAATATTGTACTCTCACTTGTAACGTAATCATATTTTATATTTCACTTGACAATACTCGTTGTATCGTATTATCGAGATTTCTCATAAATTGTTTTAAAGCAGCGCTACATACGCACAATTTGTATATATGCACACATTTGCATACATACGCACGTGCTATATACAAATGAGGATAAAGTTTGTATAGTAAATTATTGTTTCTATTAATGCCTACATAATATTTTCAAATCATCTAACACATTTTTTTACCAAACAATGCAATTCATAATTTTATGATGTTTAGAAATCTTTCAACGTTTTATCGCAGGTGTTGGCCCAACTAATGCGGCAACAAATGCTGKAGCTACAGCTGCTCCTGGTGCTATAAATGCGGCGCCGTCCAACAACAATTACGGCGGTACAGGTTCTGGTTCATCCGCTGAGCGCTCTTCAATGTAAGTTATATATTTGAGAAATGTAAACAATTTCAAATAATATACGCATATTTTACAAATTGTTATATAATATTCGCATATTTTACACATTTTGACGCATAATTCAACTTTTTTTGTTTTATTTTCTGCAGTAGTAGCAACTTTAAACGCCAAAACACAATTGATTCGGCCACAATAAAGGAAAATACTGCGCGGCTGGCAGTACAAAATCACAGACCCACGTCAGCTACTCAAAAGCTTTTAACAACCGCGGATACAAGTAATTTCTCTTTTGAATTTTATAGTATTAACTAAATTCTACGTCTTCGCCTATTTCAACAATTTTTCAGCACTCAACAGCCCCGCGAAGCCGCGCACTTCAACAAAATACGACACATCAAATACTAATCGCACTACCGTTGGCACAAGCGGTATGATACCACGTCGTTCCACCACTTTATATGAAAAGACTTCATCAACTGAAAAAACGAATGCATTGCCAGCGGAAACAAAGTAAGTGCTATGTTACAAACTCGAATGACAGCAATGATTTTCTGGCGAAGTTTTTTTTTCAAACCCGGTGTGTTTTTATACTGCGCGTTTAAGAAAAAAATAATTTATATAAAATTAATTTTTATAACCTTGCAAATGTCTGAATACTTTGAAATTTGTTTGAAAAAACAACATCCAACAATGAGAGATTCCAATCAGTTTAACTATTTAAGAAAATTTCAAAAAATAATATACAGGTATATAATGTCGGTTATATAATAAAGACAACATCAGTATATAGGCATTAGTGACATATCATTGATCATTTTGGACATATACAGTTTCGTTGTAAATTTACACGGAGRCGACTACACCCTACACAATTGAGCCAGTATTTAAACGGGACATTGTAATATATAATTAGTTGCAAATGCAAGTAAATGGAAATATACATATATAAATGCATTCCAGATTTACAAAAACTCATCAGCTTTTGTACTATATAATTTTTCATATAAAAAACGCCATTTAATTTGTTATTAGACACATTTTTCAGTTATTGGGCATACATTTATGCGTGTAAATATATGTATATACACATAATTTTTCATCATATTATCGTAATTTGTAAGCAGTAATTTCGCGTAATTATACTTTTGGGGAAATGTAAAATAATTTGATTTCAAAATCTTTTTAAAACATGRTCTCTTGCATATTAATTACAAAATTATGTCTAAAAATACACATTTCTAATACTTTTAAACTGTCACACTTTCCAAACTTGAGTGTTCTGTAATAGCAGCCTTTTGAAAAATTACCATCTTTTGTCGATTCGATTTTTCTGAAATTAATCTTTCTTGAAACGCACAATTAGTGGATCTGCCAACTCTACAGGAAAAGGCCATGTTAAAAGCGCCTCTGTCTCCAGCCCTGGCTCGACCGCTGAGGGAGGAGTCGCTGTTTCCAATGAAACACTCGGAACGAGGTATAAGACATAATAACACTTACAAAAAACAAAATCATAATAACCAACCATTTACACAATTTGCTTAGTATGGATTATTTGATTTCGTCTTTTAGCTATATACACATTTAATTACTACTGATTTCAACAATAATGTTACATAAAAATTCAATAAAAACTCCATGTGAGGCCAGCTCAAACATCAATTTAATGAATTTACATGTTTTCAGTGCCTTTACAATACTCGTACATTAGCGCGAGTTTATAACACTTCAATTCAAGAATTCCACTCTTTTTTTTGTTGTGAAAAATACATTTTATATTAAATTTTTCAACTTGTTCACTCAGCACCTAAAATGTTCCATATGTTGTTATTCATCTATCTCTCTTATTGACAAATGCTGTTTTTAGTGTTTTGGCGAAAAACGAGTTAATGGCAACTCTAATTTTTTTTTTTGTTTTTACAAATTTTTATTTTCATATTTGCAATTTTATTTTTCTTATAACCAAGTATTTTCTTTTTTCTTTCCTCACAACCTTTTGTCTGGATTACACAAAATCAACATTAAACGTGGCTGTACTTGAAATATGCGAATATACGCCCATGTGCACGCTTCTTCAATGYTACTTCAATGCGGTGAGTGTAAAAATTAAAAGTTCTTAAAATTCAAATAATTAGTGAATGGTCGTATGTACTCAAAAGCTAAGATCTGCACCGTATTTTGTTGTATATTAATTTAGAGTAACGTTAATTATTTTTAATTACCATAAATGCTTAGGAAGTGCGCTAAAAAGTGCAAGGTCGTGGCATTAAGTTCGTGCTAAAGACTAGCGAAGGTTTAAGCGTGTCAAATTTAAATTTTTTTAACAAACAATTAATATTTTGGCGTTACTACTGTAATGRCAACGTTCTTAAGCATTAAGTTTAGCAACGCCCAAGTTTTATATAATTTTAGTGAAAATCTTCAATTTGTTTAGCATATATTTTTCTTTTTACAAAAAATATTTATTACATTTTTTACAGTAACGCAATTTTTTAGCACCTGTTTTACTGCATTACTAAAAAGTAGCTTCGTTGAGTGTTAAAGTGCAATGTTCATAATTGGTATAAATATATATATTTATTTAATTTTTTGCTTTCATATTTATGTTTTTCAGCTTAGTACTCTTAAGATATTTAGCTTTATGAGTTTGCGCTAAGTTTTCTTCAACTCAGTGCTGCTTCGGTAACATTTTTTATTAATTTTTATGCATTCATTTTCTAAAAAAAATCAAAAACATTGTCTCATCATAATATTACTATATTGCTCATCGATTGCAATATTTATTATTTATTTCAAAATTAAATTTCAAATGCTGAGCAAATTGTTTGCTGTTTTGGTTTCTTTTTTTTTCAATGTGATATTTGGGATTAAAAATGTATGTTTCCTCGGGTAAAAAACAGTCATTTTTCAAAATTTTTGGCAGATAATTTTTATAAAAAACAATGAAAATTTCGCGAAACTTTTTTTTCATATAGTTGTAATAGAAAGAAATTCTTCGTCCAAGAATTGTATCTCAAAGACCTGTGTATAATTTCATGAAGATCGGTTCAGTAGTTCTTGAGCAATCTTGAGAAACGACGGCGCACTTAGCCTAGGGGGCACAAGTTCTCAAGGCTATATCTTTGAAACTATTACTCGGATCAGCTTGAAAATTTAGGAAAATATCATTATTTTTCTATAACTTTTTTAAATTTTAAGAGTACAAAAAAAATACTTTTAAAGTAAGCAAAAGTAGTAGTTTTTTGTAAAAATGTAATCTATTTTATTTAATAATTGATACATTTTATTAGACCCTCATTTATGCATACTCATTATCATTCGAACTTTCAACTTGTATATATATATATAAAATTATAAATCGAAACATATTTTAAATTTTGATTTTGCATTCTGCCAGACTATTTCATAATTTTAATGTTTGTTCATTGGCGTGATATTATTATTATTTTTTTTAAAAGCATTTTATAATTATGATTTTTTATAAGAATTCTATAATTATTAAGCTTGTTTATTGCCCTTTCTATTTTTTATTTTTTTTTTATAAAAAATTAATTTCAAAATTCCATGAAAAAACATGCCGAAATTTCTTATTAAATTTTATATATTTTAAGCAAATATGCCATATTGTGTAAACTTCATGAAGTTTAGTCCATCTTAAACGTGTAAGATTAGGTTATAGTACTAATCAATGTAAATATAAATATATACATCAATTAGCTTTAGCTGCCAAGCATTTAATACAAACTATCTTAATTATATATGTATGTGCACTTTATTTAAAAATTTTAATTTCGTTGTTTTTTAATTTACGTTTTTTATTCTTATTTCTCTTACGCATGAAAACACATATTGGACATCGCTACGATCTCAAATCCAACATGAACTACCTATTTTGCTGCCTAACTGTTTGTTCGCTTACCGTTCGTACCGTTCCATCCTGTTCAATTGTGATTACAAATCAAATTAAAACAAAACTGACCACCACCACCACATGTACATGCCCATCTCGAATATTAAAAAATAAAATCAATAAAATAAAAAAAAATATATGTATATATACATATGGAAAATAATCCAACGCGCTTTGCTCCTACAACGATTTGTTTACATTTATTATATAATCACATGTGTGTGTGTGTCTATTATGTGTACATCCTTGGACGCAATCAAATCATGCATTTAATATAAAAAACAAATACAAAAAAAAAAAAAAACAAATAGTTTCCTCAAACAACTTAGAATGACGTCGGCTGTTAAGTCTAGCAGGCATTTCCCCAGGAATGTGCCATTACGATCAACCTTTCATTCTGGTGAGTTGTCCCTTTTTAAATTTAGACTTTTAAATCTATGTAAAGCATACTGATCTTTTTTTTATAATTATATAAATAAAGATATACATATTAAATAACGAAAATAAATCTAAAAAAAATTAATAGTAATTAGTAAGCTAAATTTTAATTTTCCACATTGGCTTAATCAGAAAGCACCAATAATTCAAAATACATATTTTTTCTATATAAAATTAATGTTTTCTGTTCGAACACACGGTTTTCATAGTCAATGCACAGCCACTTTAGAACGTGTTGAACAAATTCTAACCATAGAATTTAGTGMAAATACGTACATACATAGTATATACTATAATAATAATTTCGAAAATTTATATGTTTAGCTAAAGTATCTTAAAACTATGCAAACAAAAATTTGGGTGGTTTTTAGGAATATAAAAAAAAAATATGTTTAAAACTTTCTGCGGACTGCGGACACACTACTTTGCCAAAATGTACGGACATGCTTTGTTTATTAAGTTTACTACAAGAAGCTTACAGCCAACGCGGCAAAAAAAGCGCTTTTCATCGCCTTCATAAATACATATGTACGTCGTTCATTACTGCAGCGCGGCGGTCGCTTACACGCAACTCATATCTTTCATACATTACAAGTTATTTTAGCAACATTTTACCTATTTAATTTACATACTTATACGCGTATTACTCATTGCGAAAGCTTTTTATAGCTGTTACCGTTCATAATTAGCCAATTTACATTGCAGGTATCGGCGCAGTAAACATATTTATATATAAATAACACGGCTTACGGGTTATTTTTAATGCAAATGCGCCGCTGTTATTAAACTGCCGCCTCAACTTATTTAATTGGTTCAAATTTAATTCGAAAATAATATATATTAAGCTTATGCRCTTCAACTCAACCGGCGCTACTATGTGGCCATTACCAAAATTCGTCATTTACCCGCAAACGAGATATGGAAAATGAACGAGCGCTTCTTTTCATACACTTTCAAACATTACTGTTCACTTTTCCAATTTGTTTCTGTTAAGAAATTTCGTTCCTTAAGATAATTTATTTCAAAGCATGCCATTATAAATATTTTCATATATATTTTCTTGCAGATATTTGTGTTGTGCTACTTAAAAATTTATTTATATTCGTTTTCCAAGCACTTGAATACTCGACGAGAAGGATATTGAATTGAATTTCAGTAATTTAGTTAATTAATAAGCATTTGGAGGCGGTTTTCAGGATTACAAGTCTTAATTAAGGGGTTATATCCACTTTTAATAATTTTAAGCAGAGGCGTTGTTGTTGTGGTAGCGGCAGAAGTCTGCCGTGTTGATATCCCTTGGTCGGATAAAAATACGGGTCCGCTCCGGTTACGTAGATCCGACCGTTGTGGGACCAACTGCGTCACCACCAACCATATTTCTTTCGCAAGTCTTTGTGGAACTCGTCTAGGGAATGAAGAGACTCCAAATTTTTTTTTCGATTATAAAAAGTTCACTTAATTTTGTAAATGTAATTTTGTAATTAATTTATTAAGTAAAATGCCTCTTCAAAAAAATACTTTTTTCTGACTTGCAAGTGAATATTAACCCCTTAACTTAGAAATGACTTGTCAGTATTTTTAGTTTTATTTTTATTTTTTTAAGTAAATATTTTTTCTTCGTTGAAGACTTTAGCCASAGCATAATATTTGTTGAAATTCGCGTTTTTTGGGGTTAATTGCCAATAGTAATATCCAAATATTGTAATAAACGGAATGTATTGTTGTTGTGTATTTTCTTTCATATATTCTTTAATTGTTAACATAAGGCAATTGTATACATATATAACTATAGTAAAATTTAGTTAAAAGCTCAAATAAATGAACGCGCTTTCATGCGTCTACAAATTTGTCGTAAAATATTAAATTTATAATTGTCATTCTCTTTTCCACCTAAATTCTTATTTTTCTCTGGTTTGCTTACATTTTCCATCTAATGAACGCTTTCCAATCAATAATTTTACAGGTCAAACAAGGACTAGAAACAATGCTGCAATGGAGTACTCCGGAACGAGTGGTGCCTCGGGCGACTCACCACATCCAGGAAGAATGAGTTTTTTCTCGAAACTGTCATCCCGATTCAGTAAACGGTAAGTAGCAAAAAAACAAAACAAAAAAAAAACAAAGCTTTGAATAAATTGTTGAAAAAGAAAATAGTATTTAATTTGAATATTGCATTTTTCGCCAATTCTCAAATTCACAAATTCTTCATTTTTGTTGTGTAAATATAAATTCTGTAATTATTTATTAAAAACGTTTTGAAAGAGATGCTAAAGCATTAAATTAAATATCGTTGCTAATGTTGAGGGCCAGCAAGTGCGCTCTTATAGTTTTTTCAACTATGCTAACTACTTATAATTTTGAAGAGAAGCGAGTTGTCTTTTTCTATAGCATGCCATATAAATTAAATAATTGCAAATCATACGAGGGAAAGTTCATTTACGAACATATAAATGTAATAATAATGCGGGTTTACTGCATACATTTTTCGATTGTCCAACCGTACATCAACACAAACTAATTTTATTTGCGATATGCTGTGTTACAAACATTACTAATTACAGTTCTCAATTCTGCCATATTCAGCATTAATTCATTTAAAAAAATGTATATGCATATCATACTAATTTATAATTGTGAAAACCTTCATCTACTGGGTTGCGGCAACGTGCATAAYACATGAAAAAATATTCATCATGACTTGGGTGCTGGTTGTTATCATAATTTAAAATGAGTTGTTTTTTTTTATAGACTATATGCGACACTCCAGGACATTGTTAATAACAAGAATGCCAGGTTTTTGTTTAATGCAAAAAACTATGGCTTATACATTTGTAGAGCGCTTGGCAGTTTTTTTTTTTTACTCTAAATTCGTAATGTGGCTTAATGCTATTCTAAAAGATTAGAAGCACGTACAAATTGCTGGTGATGATTTTTAATAATAAAATCAACTATTTTATGTACAAGACTTCTGAGATTACAAAGTATTAAATTTGTTGTGACATTGGAAGGCATCTGAGTTCCCATTSGAGTAAATCCAACACGGCCTACCAMCATTTTCGCGTATTTTAATACGAATCTTTGTTATCGCCTTCAAATTATGCTGATTTTAAGCCAATGCATAATGCTAAGGTTTGATTAAATTTTCTATACATTGGTTATATGCTTGGGCAGGTGTGACCGTCAATGCCTTCCGCGAATTTTATTTATTTTTTCGGTTTCGGCTCACTTTTGGTGCGCCATTCGCCAGATTGCTTTACATTCCACGTCATATTTGTAATTTCCAAATTTTCAATCGCAGAAAAACCTTTTTCGTCGAAAAAATAGCTGGCAAACAAACATTAACGACATATGAGTGTCAAACTTCAAACTAAATAATAAAAATGGTGCCAATCTAGGAAAACATTTTTTATCGATAAACGCAATAATAAAACCKTTAATTTTGAAAGAATTAAGCGAGTGTCGCATATTTTGTATTCTCCAATTATTATAGTAGCCGGTCACGTAAAATTTCATTAAAAAATTCAGTTCAAATAAGGATGTATTAGATGTATGTACATGCATATTGAAAAATAATTAAAAATATATAACTTTTGCTTACCATAGAGTATTGTTACAGGCAAATGAAATAAATACACGAATTTTCGCATATGAGAAAATATATAAATAGGCAGGCTATAATTGAATTTAGTTGTGGGAAAGTGGTTACGAATCATGAGTTTACAAAAACCTTGTAGGAAAATGTATTAAAGAAAAATTKCAAAAGCATATTTTTAGGTGCTTAAATTATTATTCGAAATATATGAATGAAATTTAAGAAACATCTTAAGTAAATAAATTTAAACTAAATTTTTAAACAGGAGGTTATAAAAATCTTCGAGACATTTTCTGCTAATCATAATTTTTTTTTTTTTTTTTTTCTTCGAGACATTTTCTGCTAATCATAATTTTTTTTTTTTTTGTATTAAGTAGTGTTATTTTAGATTCACAATAGTAAATCACAATTTTTTTTTACCTTTAGCGTATAATATAAGTAGTTTTGTAGCAAGGTAGTCTTGAATATGGTTTGGTAAACTTGTATGTAGCTCGAATACATTTTAGTCTATATTTCAAAATATGGTAGCTTAGTAAAAATTTCGCTAGATGTAGCGTTAGAAATGTTGGGCACAAATGACTCCATCCTCACATACCCAGTAAGTATAAAATATTTACCAAAAGCGAGGAGTAGCTATCGAGTAGCGTTTGAACAAGTTAAAAATAGCATTTTATGTCAAAACAGATCACGTTTAGCATTTTTAACTATCGTAGGCATGTTTGTTACTGCATTGAAAAAAGAAAACACAGTTGTGGCGAAATTTTCATGCTGAAAATGTAWATAAAATCTTCTAGCGGGTTTAAACACTTGACATATGTAAACTTTCAATTTATAATTTTTTGGTGCACCCTATAGACACAGGTTTCCCCTGTTTTGTTATTATTATTTTTTTTTATTCGTTATTTTGTTTTGCATGTATAAAATTTGTTTTCAAAGTTAAGAGGTTTTTGTTTTTACTAATCTTACAATTTTTATGATGCAGTGTGTGATATTAAATCGGTGGCGTTTGCGTGGTTAAACTTACTCGTCTTTTTTTGGCAAATCGTGTCATATCTAGAACACGATTGTCAAAAAAAAAAAAATGGAATTAAATAAGTAACAAGAAAAAAATGGAATTAAATAAGTAACAAGAAAAATAATAATTTTCGGTTGAATCGAAGGTGTAATAGCTTTCACCAATAAACAGATTTCCAGACAAGCAGATATTTGCATTGACGGTCCCATCTAAGCTATCTATACGGAGCTTGCAGCATTGTCTTAAGCAATAATCTTTGTCGTCATAATTTCGTGAATATATCCTCTCTAATAAAAAAGTTTTCCATACAAGCACTTGATTTTGATTGTAAAGTTGGCAAAGTGGYAGGAATATGCTATAATGGTCCGATATCGACGGTGCCGACAAACGAGCAGCTTCTTGGAGAAAAAAGGACGTGCGCAAAATGTCAGATCAAAAACTCAAAAACTGAAGCACTGGTTCCTGTATATACAGGCAAACGGGCATGGCTAAATCGACTCAGCTCGTCATGCTGCACAATTTTATTTATATACTTCGCAGGATGTCCAAAGTTTCCTTCTGTGTGTTACAAACTTAATAAACCCTGTTCAGCATATAAAAAAAATTGTATGAAACAATAACGGGTAACTAACGAAATTATACGCGCACGTCACTAATATTACTATTACACATTTGCATTTTCTATTACCAAAGCAGGTTGATTGTGTTATGCATGACTTATTTAAACAATATAAATTTGCACTCCAAATTAATTGGCATGCCAGTCATCATGGAATTTTTTTAATATTTATATATTTTTTTAATAGCATCTTGTATAGGTATGTCATACGTACATACATATTTTATGCAATTTTTTGTGCATTGAAGTTCTTTTTTGTTCAACGCCACATATACCATAAATAAAATATGATATTTATTCACAAATAAATGCTGAAAATACCAAGAATGAGCGGGCAATCACAACCCAAATGGATAAAATAAAGCAATTTACAAAGTAAACAAAAAAATATTATTAATAATTGTTCAGCAAGCGTAAAGCGTTTCGATTTGTGTTATTATGGAAAGTTTTATATGCGTCTGCAGAGATATTTCATTTGCCAAGTGACAATCTTTTGTACAATGCCAGTAACGTATACATACATATATATACATATGAGTGTATGTAAATATTCAAATATTATTCAATGGTCATCATTTAAAAGCTATTGTAGCATTCAATTAACTAATATATATACGAATACATATACATACATACATATATACATACGATGTATGCTTTTATATACAAACTATATGCAGCTTTTTATGTAATTTGCCATCTTTGTGCGCGTCCAGACGAAAAGTTATAGAAATATTTAGTAAATGGTCACATGCGTTACTACAAAAATACATACAGTATGTTTTTGGAAAGAGCTAAAAGTGATGTACATACATACATACATACTACTTACATACCACATAACAGTTTAAATTAAAAAATAGTAAAAAATAATTAAACTATACACATAATTACAGTTGAATTGGGGAGAGCAATAATGAAAAGATTTTTTAAATTAAAGTCCAGCTTTTTTACTACAGCATATGTATACATACATATATAAGTGTATATATATATAAATATATATACATATATATAGCTAAGAAATAAAATGAAATAACCTGTACTACATATTATGTTTGTTTAGTAAAGCATCTTTAAACAAAAATTTACTTCTCTCCTTCTATTTTTTATTCATTTTATATCGCACACGCTATATATATTTGTATTATTCGGTTTCATAAGAAGAATATCTAGTTGTTTTTGTCTTTTCGTTATTTATTTCTTTTCTATGTTCATTTGTAGTACTCTTCTTCAGTTGATTGAGATATTTAATGTTTTAGTATTTCTTGAAATATTACCAAACAATATTTTTTTAACAGTGAATAATTTCTTTTACTATTATTTTTTCTTTAATTTTAGGCCAAACCAGTAAATAACAAAAACAATGTTACGATTTAACGAATGCTAGTAGAAATTAAAACGAAAAATTTTACTCTTGAGTGAATGAAGGAGAGAAAACATTTCAAGTCTGCGGCAACGTTTGAAATGAGATATAATCAGTAAACGCAACATATTACGTTTGAATAATAAATAAATATACCACACACGTTTACTTTAAATTAATGTAAAGTAAACGAAGTTTGCAAACACAAACCAAGCAAAAAAACCATTAAACATAAAATATTCATAAAACAAAAAAAAAATAATTCTAACAATTAAGTAATGTCAATATTAATTTAATAGCAAACAAAACAAAAAAAACTTAAAAAATAATATAAATATTTTTTATATCACAACATTCTGTAGCAATAAGATCGCGCTGAAAGTTATATACATTTTAAATTAATAATTCTTTGTTGTCTTAAGTTAAAAATAGTAAACGCAATTGTGACCATTTAATTTCTATAGTTTTTTGTGCACTGTGTTATCAAAACTAAACTAACGTCGTGATCTTAAACAAAAAAATTAAATAAATTACATTTAATATAATTACGTTTATTTAGAGCATGAAGATTGAAGTTAAGTAATGATGGAAAAGAAAAATGCTGTTAAAAGTAATGAAGACATAAAATCCCGCTAAGTAAAGATATGTCTGTCGAACGATTTATATATACACGTTTTGTCAACTTACATATACATAAATATATATATCTATAAACCATATAGATCATATGATAATATAATTAAAATAAAGTGAAAACTATCAACATAAACACAACAAACAAACAAACACACACTCACTTACTCACATTTGGCAAGTGGAAACAAAGACTTACAAAACAAAAAAGAAAACGAACTGGTTGATGATTCTACTTCCTAATTGTTCTTATTATTTTCGTGGCTTATTAAGTAGCAGCAGCAGAACAACAAAATTGTATATGTTGTGTGCAAAAACTCCTAAACAGTATATCGTACGATATGAATGAATATTTGTCAATACGTTAAGTAGTTAATAATATTTGTGTATGTGTTTTAAACAACCAATAGACGCAAATAAATCAATTTAGTAAACAGTCTAACGAGTTTATATTTGTAATGGATGGACCTGTATTATAAAAAATACAAATTATACACAAACACACATGCACACACACGCCCACTACATTATCGTAAATAAAATTCATTGTATGTAATATAAAGTTTTAGCTTAAGTATATGAGTATATACATATATATAAATATAATATATATCCCGTTTGTGTAATAAAAMAAAAATAAAGTGTGACTATAATATTATTTTCAAATATATTAGTTTTGAAGATAAATAAAATCATGTATTTTGTAATTAATCTAGTACAGTGTTCACTAGTACGTCATACGGCATGAAATGATACAGTTTTGTTCGCTTTGGTTCTGACACATATGTATGTATGTAGTATGTACTATATTTATGTAGAATGTCCATTATTATAAACTGTATTCTAAGATACAATTAATAAAGCATGCTACTTGTACATAATTTCCTTGATTCATTAATATTTAGATTTAGTAGATTACATAATGTTTATTAAAAAAAAAAAATATTACAAAAAAAATACACAACTAATAACGCTGCACACAAGGCATGCTGTTACGTTAAATTCACATGGGTTGCCGTAAAAAAAAATGCAAAAGCAAACATAAAAAATTAAGCTTACAATGCCATGCAGGAAAAAGTTTTTTTTTTCGCAGTTATTGCTGTTGTTTTTTACCGGTTATTGAACACTTRTTATGCCTTACCGCCATGTAGAAGTCTTATGAGTATTAGTTACAACATCTTTCTTAAGTGTAGAAAAATCATTTACATTTAGTTTACAAGATATACAACTAAAATTATGGTAAGCAGAAATGTGCGTTTGGAGATTTCAAATGTGAAATAATGTTTTGCAACGGCTTGCCTAGGAAAATTAGGTAAAGTAATGCTGCTGTGTGTTTTGTAGGAAAAAGTCAAAGTATTCCCTAAGAACTACATATGTACATACAATAAATATAACAAAAATTTATTTATTGATAACTGACAAAATTCTTATGTTATACCCCACCCCAGTGTCTGGGAAGCATACAACTATACAAATTCTTACAATATTGCGCATTTATCATCGATTTTCAACGCTTTCTGAAAATAAAATACATATTTTTATTGTTGCTACCTTGTGCGTAATGTCCTTTTAGCTTACCTATTAATTTCCTTTAAATTTAGACCCAGCCCATTAACAACAAGCCCTAGTAATAAGCTTAAATAGTAGCCTTTCAATGCTTATGCCATAAATGTAGACACCAAAACAGGGTTATAAAACGCGCTAAACACTTAATTACGGGTAAAAAATTTGTTTTTGTTTTTATTCTAAATCTCTGCAGCGCTTCAACAACTGAAGAATCAGCGAAGCCGCGCGTTTTGCGCTTTACATGGTCAATGAAAACCACGTCGCCACTTATGCCCGACCAAATAATGCAGAAAATACGAGAAGTGCTCGATCAAAACAACTGTGACTACGAACAACGGGAAAGGTGAAGTCATAACAACTCGTGTTAAAATTCTAAAAATAATTTTATCTGCTCTTTATACTCCAGGTTTGTGCTTTGGTGCGTACATGGCGATCCCAATACCGATTCATTGGTACAGTGGGAAATTGAAGTATGCAAATTGCCACGACTCTCGCTCAATGGTGTGCGTTTCAAGCGCATTTCAGGTGATAAGAATATAATTTGCGAAGAATTTTTAATATTTTGTTTATTTGTTTTTTATTTTTTTTTAATTCATATGTTTTTTTTTATTTTATTTGTTGTAACTCTTTTTTTATATAAATTTGCAGGCACCAGCATAGGATTTAAAAATATTGCATCACGCATAGCATTTGACTTACGACTGTGACTCCACCAAACCAACACCGACGCGGCTGCCTTTGGTTCTGATACTACAGCAACTACCACCACACCTACACGCTGTCATCAACACACCACAACATCGACCAATAATCATAAAACAAATATGAAAACATTTAATCTGGCCATCACCAGCAACATCATAAATGAAACGCTTACAAAAAATAAAGCAAAACCCGAATGTAGCAAAAATTGTGCAAATAGCATTTTTGGCAAAAAGAAATACAATTATTTGGATGATAATAAAAAACCAACGGTAACACTATCGTCAACTTCACCAACTACTTCAAATACACAATGCGGTTGTTTGGCATTCGAATCCCTAGAAAATAAGACGCAGACGATAAGTAAAACGAATCGGCGAAATTCGCCAACAAAGACACCAACAAAAATTGGCAAAGGCAAAAAATCAATAACGACCGAAAATATTGTTGGTTTGGCAATGGCAAAATGTTCGATAGAAACGTTGGAKAACTCGATCTCGCTTAAATCTGACATTGACACGAATGCACAAGAATCATCACAATCACCGACTACAACAAAACCCGAAAAGTCTATTACCAAAGGTAGCCACTTGATGAAGAAAACATTGGTAGTGGAAAAATTGCGTAGTACCAATAGTGTAATTACACGAAAATTGTTTTCCACCAAGCGTGCGATTACACCAAATAGTAATAGCACTGACAAAACTAAAGAAACGCAGAAAAAACCGGATTCAACGGATTTGGAAGATGATGATGACACAAATACCAATACAACTACAACAACTGCTACTGAAAAAGATAAAGTTAAAGAGGAAAGTCAAAGCATGATCACCTCACTGCTGCGTACAACAACGCTTTAAATTGTTTGTTGAATATCATATGCTTCAAATTTCGTCTTTAATACTTCTGAAATCTCTTAAAAAATAATAATAATGTATTTATATTAAAACATAGCCCCAATAATATAACCCTGTTTTTATATATGCCCTTTTCATGTTCAATAATTGTTATGATGCATACCCAACAATACATACATACAATATACTATACAAAACATGTAGCTTATGTTATACAAAATTTTTGTGTTAAAACATTAAAAACATGTGAAAACCAGAACAAAACTAAAAAAAAAAAACTAAGCAAATGTGCAGCGCCACTTTTTCGTTGATTATACATATGTACGTTGATAATGCTTACACCAATCAACTTTGCTGAGAGACGATTTTAAAGGCATATTTGCGCGTAAAATACGTGAATGCGTTTCAAATTGCAATTGTACAACTCAGTTGATACGTTTTCGCCAAACATAATCAAAATATCCCATCGAAACCCTTTCACACCAAAGTTGAAAAGAAATTATAAAATATTCCTCTATTTGTTTTGTTTTCTATTTCTATGTTAACCGTTGTCTATACGTTTCGCAAACTTTTATACAAATATCTGTAATCGCTACAAAGTTTATCGTAAGTTTTAAATTAAAAAATGGCAATCATTTCTTTACGCATGTAAAGTCAATAGCTTTTTAAACAAACATATATAATAAAAAAAAATTACAATAATTTAACGTTTCAACATTTAACTACAAATTCATTACTATTGATCGAGAACATTGGCTCATAATCATAAACAGAATATAATCGATTCAAGTTTTGCTATTAAACAATTGATTTGTGTTTATTTGTAAAACAGAAAGTTTACTGTCGCAACAAATGAAAAGAATACTTCAAGTAAGATCGACGACTTCATTTTGTCTTGTGATCATATATCATAGTTTTTATTATATTTTTCAACTACCTGTGAGCGATCGGAAAAATTGCAAATATTTATTTTATATTATGACAATTTTTTATTAACTTTAATTTGTATTTTATTTTTATTACAATTATTATTTTTTTTTGTGTGTATAATGCACTTTTATCCATTTAATATTCTGTACTGCAACTTGTGAAACTTTATAAACGTAAACAAAGTGAAAATACATTGGCTAAAGTGCCAACGTACATACATACATATATAGGACATTGGCTAAAATTCTGTGTGAGTTTACCTAAATTTCACTCTTTTTATGCCTTATATTATTTGTTGTCTACAAACATTTCTACGACAAACAAAAAACTATTTTGTCGTTGCATTAAAAATACGAATAAAGAAAAACATGAATTAGACAAACTACCATTTACACTTCCCGAACAAAAAACACTATAAATTTGAGAAGAAAAATCATTTAGCCTATCACTTTATAATCTTGTATTCCATATGCATACGGAAATACAATAAAAGAATAAATAAAATAAAAACAAGTGTTCAAAACTTATTCGTAGTATGGTAGGAAGTTTGAAGATAATTGAAGTACAGCTGCCGTTCCAACGTCAGTCAGGTCCAGTTAAGAGGAACGGACGCGGATTTTTATTCGACCAGGGACTGTCAACTCTGTACCATTCCTCRAAATGAATATACTCCGTTGATGAAGGGCGGATCTCTGGAACTGTAATAACGGAGAAGAAAGGAAAAAGCACAGCATTTTACAACAGTATTATCTCAAGTTACCGTAAAATTATTTTATTAGAGATACATTTGTTATTTATTGAAGTAAGAGTGGATTGTGTTTATTGACGGATTGTGAGTATCCCAGCAATCACGTCTGCCGAAACTCCAATACAGAATATAGCCAAAACTAACACATACACACCATGCTATTAATATGGCCTTTGCGTAAGAAAGCGATGAAAAATAACACGTACCCAAAACTTTCGGTTATAATTGTCAATTGAACCCTAAGAAACACAGAAATTTTAAAAGAAATCTCTAGTAGCGTTATTGGGTAATTAACCGGTGACTTAACCTATAGGGGGCTACAGGCTATGTTTCATTGGTGCTGTTACATGACATTTCTTCATTTTAAATGCATGGTGCATTCTATGTGACATGGACAACTTTCACTTGGGTTATTAAATSAGATGTCCTTTTTTTATACTTTTAAAAACAAAAAGCTTGCATTTTGTTTACCAATTGTTTTCTAAATACATTCCACAAATGATTTGGTGCTGCTTTGTTGCACGCAACATTTAAATGAGTGTTAATGACACACTCTAATTTTAATTATGATCTGGCAACCTTTCACGGTATTATTCAATCGGCTGGGTTCTTCGGATATTCCAAGCACTAGATTAACACCGGTTATTCTCGCTGGGCGGTCATAAGTTAATAAAATTTTGTTTTAAGATTAGGAGTTAATAGTAAATAAAGTGGAAAATGAGTGCTTTGCGTTCACATTTTGGGAAATTGTAAATATATATTTTTATTACTGCTCATTTTGTGAATTGTGTCGACGTGAATGAAGCTATGAACGGTGTCGAGTGAAACGTGTGCATAGCGTGAAAAGAGCGATTTGAAAGGAAGAGAAAAGTGGAACACTGGCATAGCCCTAGATGTACATTGCTTAAAATAAAATATACTAATTACAACAGCACACAGTTTTTTATAACTTTCAATATAAGTTAAAAGTTACTTATTTCCAAAAAACCAAAAAAAAAAAATAATCAAAGCAAAAAAAAAAAATTAGGTGTGAATTTTGAGAGCGAGCGAACGAACAAGCAGCGTGCGAAAGCGTTAAGAGAGAAGGTGACAAAATATGATTGTGTGTATTGTGTGTATAGCAAAAGAAAAATATTTTATATATACATACAACGTTCAAGATTGATTCTACTGGGTTGAGTGGTGTTAAATTTATTACATTAGTATCTATATATACTTATATGTATATAATTTATATTTTTTCTTTTCTCTATATGATAAAGGCTAATTTTGGTTTCATTCTACATGTCACATTCTTATATTTAATAATGATTTTCCAAAAATCCAAATAATATTATCAACTTCTTTATTGATTAGTCAATATTCACATTTATGTAAGAAAAGAATTTACTGTAAAAAGCAAATGCAAATAATTTCATTCTGATAAATAATTAAGCTAAATCAAGAGTCGTTATTGGAATGATTCTTAAAAATACACACTTCTTTGTGTATTTGACATGTGTATGTATATTGTATACCTTTTTTATACAAAAAAATATATATAATATTTCGCTTCAAAATATAGAAATACTTTTTGAATACAATTCCCAATGTTGTTTATTATATCCTTTCTAGTTAATACAACTTTTAATTTAATAAAACACTTCCAGTGGAGAATGGTATGAAATTGACATACTTTTATGTTGCAAATAATAAAAATAAAATCTGCAGAATATAATAATTTGTAATTTGAGACATATTTTCAAAGTTGCTATATATAATATTTAATTTACAACATTTTTTTAATTTGTTAAAATTTAAATATCTACTATTTTCTTACTTACATTAATACTTATTTGATATTTTTTTGTGACAACAGTAATACATATAATGGATTTTGTACAAGTAGCCGAAGAAGAGGGTGAGGAACCCATAGAGCTTCCGGCAGAGGAGGATGGAACTTTACTTCTATCCACTTTGCAAGCTCAATTCCCTGGTTCATGTGGTCTAAAGTATCGCAATGAAGATACGAAGGCAGTGCGCGGTGTGCGTTCGAACGAGGGTCGCTTATATCCGCCATCTTCTGAAGACGGTTGGGGCTCCAGCGTATTTTTCTGTGTTTTTCCCAAAGGTAATTTTGTGATTTAGCAAATCTAATATTGATATCATTTTAAATTTAATTTATGCTTATGCTTACAGAAAACAAACGCAAAAGTGATGACAATTTGGAAAACTCCACCGCCAAAACCAAACGTATTGAAACTCGTTTACGTTGCACTGATTTAATTGTTTTAGGTTTACCTTGGAAAACCACGGAGGATAGTTTGCGCGAGTATTTTGAAAGTTATGGTGAAGTGTTAATGGCACAAGTAAAAAAAGATATGAAATCTGGTCAATCCAAAGGTTTTGGGTTTGTACGCTTTGGTTCGTACGAAGCTCAGATGCGTGTGCTCTCGTCTAGACATTTAATTGATGGACGTTGGTGTGAAGTGAAAGTACCAAATTCTAAAGTAAGTTAATAACTCCGATTAATACCAAAATATGAAAAATTAATTAAAATATTTTCCTCCTATTTCATAGGGTATGATGCATCAAGTGCCATGTAAAGTATTTGTTGGTAGATGTACCGAAGACCTAACCGCCGATGATTTGCGAGATTACTTCTCGAAATTCGGAGAAGTAACCGATGTTTTCATACCGAAACCTTTTCGTGCATTCAGTTTCGTAACATTTTTGGATCCTGAAGTTGCGCAATCCTTGTGTGGCGAGGACCACATTATCAAAGGTAATGCCGAGAAATTTTTACCGTATATATTAATGTTGTATATATTGAGAAAAATGCCTGGATATAATACAATTAATATAAATATATAATATATATATGTATATATATATATATATTGTAGGTGTATCGGTACATGTTTCGAATGCAGCACCAAAGTCGGAACAAAATCGAAATTCTGGTCATAACCAACAAAATTACTCGTACAATTCTCAAAGTAGCATCGGCAGCGGCCTACACATGTTACATCATCAAGGCCTTAATGCAAGTGGCAGCGCCGGTGGAGGCGGCGGTAGTGTTAGCAATAATAGTTCTGGACGCAACGGCCATCAACGTTCTAGCAATTCGAATAATATGCTGAGTGATGGACCCATGCCGGGCAGTTCTAATAACGGTTCATATGGCATGAATGGTAATGGCTACGGTGGCAACAACAATGGATTTAATAGTGGCGGAAGTTTGGCCGGAAGCAGTAGCGGATTGATGGGAAATTCTGGCAATCGGTCAGATGGATCAATCACTCCATATAATCGTGGCAATGGAGGTAATTATATGAATAGTCGTTCAATGGGTCCTCAGCATAGTAGCAGTGGAAATATGGGTTGGAATAATCAAACAAATCGTGGTCATCTCGATATGCCAAATTTACAAGCGTTAGGCATAAATCCACAAGGGCCAAATCCACCAAATCAAGGTCAAAATATGAATAACCCATTGGGTGTCGGCCTCAATTTGAACTCATTACCAATGAATCCTGCTATCGTGGCTGCTGCCTTGAATCAATGGAGTCTACTCGGCAATCAATTGCAGAACCAGTCGCAAGATCAACAGGTAAACATTGAGATACGTGATTGTGAAGCTCACAATTTAAATAAATATAAGGTATCAAATCAGGGTGGAAATTTTTTGTCTTGGATGGCCCAAGCTAGTAACTCCGGAAATGGTGGAGGTTTAAATGCCAGTGGCAAAGGCAACAACTCAAATAATCCTAGTTCTAATGGAAGTGCAGGCATGGGCTCAGGATCCTGTAATGATACACAACAGGTCCTAAAACAACTACTATACACACATTTAACTCATCTAAAATATGTTTTTCTCTTTTTAGAATGGCAGTACTAATTCGAGCAGCCAAGGATGGTCACGTCAAAACTCTGGTGGTGTATCGCAAGGCTCGGCTGATGTTAAACCGAAATTCATTTAAATTAAATTAAAACTGAACAAAAATTATGTGAGAGCTAGCTACGTGTGTGTATGATGATAATTTTGACGCGATTTTTAAATTTTGACCGGTATTTCATTAAACATAAATAAATATGTAATCGTAAAATGGTTAAAATCATGCTTAACAATAACAGTATATTGATCTGAATAAAGTTTTAACCTCTATTGTAGTGCAAAACATGAAGTTTCTTATTTTTTGGTATATTGAAGGGGTCACTTGGCACTGATGTTTTATTACAGTTGAAAATTGCACTATTTGGAATAAAATATTTATTCCCTAAATSGGACCACTATAGATATAGTTGTTATGTATATAATCTGAGTCAGTTGCTCGGAGGGAGAATTCTTTTATTTTTGAAGGTTAGGTTCGGTGCAACTGAAGTAAACGTTTTTATTGCTTTATTTCAAATATTAAAAGTTAGAGATATACATACAGATGTATATTTTAATAAATTAAACTCAATAAAATTATTTTCTAAAATAAAATGAAAAAAAAATTAAATTTTTATATTGTGTATATTGATTCATTTTATTGCAGCAGTTAATTTTAACAATATTTTTTTATGATATAAAATTGCAATACAAAAATACAGCACTCGATATAATACATATAATTGCTTAACTTTGTTACTAAAATTTCAAACAAAAACAAGAACAAATATACAATTTATCTATGCTTACGCGTCTTTAAACGTTGACTGTAATAGTTACTGTCTTTAGAGCATAACAGCTGTTGTTACGTATTGACTGAGGTAATTTATGTTTTGCAGTTACAGCAAAAGTCCACTAATAAAAATTAGTATGAAAAATATACTTCTGACAGTAAGGCAATCGTTCATTTTTTCTTCTCACAAATTTATAAGGAAAGTGCAGCTTATAAAATTATTGTAATTGTGCTATGCAAATAGTATTTACACCAACAAATGCACAATATGTACTTTTCACACGGTGTACGATTGYATACAAGTTATATTTGAAAAGTTGTTGGTATACGCGGATTAGTTTAAGTTAAATTTAATTTTGATTTGATTAATTTAAATTTAAGTAAATTTTTTTTACTAATATTTGGTGTTGTTCATTTTCTTTGTTCGTTTAGACAAATTTGCAAAAATGATTTCAAAATCTTTAACATACATACGTTTGAAGATAGACTATGTGACGAATGAGATGTAGAGAGAGAATTAACTTGGTAATTTTAAATTTTGGAAACGTTAGCAAAGACACTGGGCAGTTAGCATAAAAGTATTCGACAAATGAGATTCATTGCTCAATATTAATCATCAATAGAAAAGAAAAAAATGTATGTTTTTCTGTAGAAATAAGATAACTTTTGGATAAGGTTTATGTGTGTGTGTGTGTATGTAATTGGATTCGAGTTATGCGAGATTCATCAGCTAAAATAATGTATAATAAGTAGTTATGAAATTTATTTTATGAATATATAGTTTTTTCTATCCATTCGTCCATGCTGAATGTAGCCACATCTTTGTTTTCGGTGTCCCGCTGCTTGAATATATCTGCAACAGAAAAAAATATATTTTGATTACATACCATACAGCAAATATAGTTTTCTTCAAATAATGCCTTCGCACACACATACCAATATAAGTTCTAATTTTGACTGCACACATAAGGAAATCATCGAATGAAATTTTACCATCGCGCGAACCATAACGATGTGCCAACGCATTGAGTATACGATTGTTGAGGTGATAGCCGGCGGAGTTGAGCGCATCACGCAATTTAAAGCCATCAATGCGTCCGGTATTTTCCGGATCGTAAAGCTTAAATACGGCTTTCCATTTTGCTATGTCGGTGAGTAGCGCTTCGAACTCCTCGAAGCCCAGTTTACCCGACTGATCGACATCCATCATGGCAACCATGGAGCGGCAGACATCCTTCGAGAAACCATTACTACTCTCCTCCATTATTACTATTAGTAAAAAAGGTGAAAATCATTTAAAAATATTACTTTAGTAATAAATTGCATTTAAGCCGYTTCTCACCTGGTGGCAATCCCATATAACCGCCAGGCTTGGTTTGATTTGCATTTGAAGGATTTTGTGCGTTGTCCTCCGAAAAGATGCTCTCAAATGGTGTACCCTTGCAAAATGGACCACAAATAAGCGCTAAGATATTGAGGCCACCGCCCTCAGCCGGGGCGCCACCGCCAACGTCAGCGTTTTGCACATTATAATTGTACGGTGTATAACTTGTACTTTTTGGTAAACCTGTTTGGTGTCGGGCATGAAAATATGTAATGTTGAAATTATTATTATTATTATTATTATAGTATTTAATTATTATTGAAGTATTTATAATTATTTAAAACACAATTTGGCATTACACAGTCACCTACCATCTTTCATTGAATGATCCAATATCCGTTTCAATTCCATCCAATCCACTTCCATGTCTGGACCGGCAATACTTTTGAAAAGTTTCAAAAGACTTTCATTATGTCCTTCGTTCGGTCTGGGATCCATTGGGTTTGGAAGATTTGGCAACACCTGCACACACAGTAACAGACAAGTTTTAAAAATATTTCATAATGATTTGACGACCAAACATACTAGAATATAGTATTTAGAAGTAATAGCACAAAACTAGAGTTATTGCAAGATTATAAAAATATATAGATATACATTAATATATATATTAACACAAATTCGAGTTACAAAAATATATATTAATTTGCAGTTTACAAAGGCTACATGTGGACTGTCTACATAATATTGCTAATTTCTTTTGAAATGATTTGCTTAATGGGTTATATTCGCATTTGAATCTAAAAAAATATTTTTTTGTTACGTATATAACATACAGATTTATTATATATCACATACACAATATTGTTCGAAAATTTTGAGTTTATCTGGCAAATAGTACCGGAGATATGCTCATATTTTTGGTCATATGCAGTTAGAATTTTCAAAAAATCTATAATATGTGTACACATTTTTAGATCAAGAAATTTCAAAATATTCTCATACAAAAATTTTTTATGGTTTTTTTTTGTGAAGAAAATTTCTCGACCGATCGATTTGAAATTTTTACATGAGTTTCTTAGATATTATTGTCGCCTTGTATTTTTTTTTTTTTATCTGCAAGTGAAAAGAACCCCTTAAGACTTGGAAATTATATACCACTACATTCAAATAAAATCAGTAATTAAGGAATGCATTCTATTGGAGTGTTTTTTTTTAGGTTTTTATAACTTTGATTGTAAGCGGATGTATTCGCTCATATATAAATTTATACTTATTTTTAATTATATATTTACCTCGATGTCACCTTAACTTTTTAGTCACAACTGTTATGAACTACACAGAATAATCAGCAGAAACCATTTTATCAACCACTTTTTCTTTTCATACACCATACAATTTTAATTTTTTAATATTTTTATTAATAAATTTGATTGATTATATTATTGATGTAAATATATTTATACACTAAATGATTTCAATGGCTAAACGGTAAACGCATCTACTGTGTGAGTAGACTTATGTCTTTTTTTTTTTTTTTTTTTTTTTTTTTTTTTTTTTTTTTTTTTTTTTTTTTTTTTTTTTTTTTTTTTTTTTTTTTTTTTTTTTTTGCATAAGGAAATGTTGGAATGAATTTTAAAGTTGTGCACTAAAATATATGAATATATAATGTGATCAAATTGAAAGGTGAAGTTTGTCCACTTCATCTAATTCAAATAATATTATTGGCAGATGTGCACTTTGTCTTATGGAGACAATAACCACGAACAAACAACCACAAGAATTAAATTCAATGAATATTTTATCAAACCAAGGTAAATGAAATTTTTTTTAAGCGACTGAAAGTGATTACATAATTTCTACACACTAGCCAAACCCTGAGTAAAAGCATTCCTGTATGTATTTATATAAATTGTAAGTAATTGCATGCATGTATGTATGTGGAGCAGTTATATACAAGCATGAAGCATATAAATACTTAAATTAACATTGTTACTAACCTTATCATCAGTCGGGCTTCCATATCCAACATGGTCGTCATTCTCTCTGGTGTATTAGTAGTATTGGAAGGATCAAAAGGGAAAGAGAAGAAAAAAGTTTGGTAAAAGAGTGCAGACCAAATGACAAACCCACAAAAGATTGTCAAGCAAATCCATTCTGAATTATATAGGACTGTGGCACACAGTTAAAGTATATGAAATGAGTAATTAGGTACAGTGAAAGTGCACTTTAGCGGACTAAGCAGCAGGGCCATGCCTTTTGTTCAACTGATGGATACTCTTTAGATACGCAGTTATATATGTACGTGTATTTATACGAAAAAGTTTATATAAAGCGTATAAAAACAAAATATTAAAAAAATGTAAAACAAATAGAAATAAAAAAATGGGTAGTCGAAAAAGTCTTTTCGTATTTCAAATCAAACTTCAACTTATTTTTTTTTATATTTATACAAATAAATAAATAAATATGTACCATTTTGGTCGACTACTTTTTGTAATTTTTCTGCTAGAGACATTATTTTAAAAGTGTAAAACTTTTATCAGTGTAAATCGAAATTTCAAAATTTCCAGAACGGAAGCGAGCGAACTATTGTTGTGCTACACGAACTGATACAGCATCGTCTCCGTAAACTTCAAAAATTTCATTGGTGGCTTGAGTTGTATTCTTCGCTTTTTTATAAAAAAAAAAATCAAAATATAGCGAATTTCTTAATTATTTTGACTGATTTTTGAACAGCGGTAACCTTACTTTGAAACTTCCTAGAATTTATTTTTTTTATTTTCGGTTAAATGAAGCTTAAAATCTCACGTTTCCAACATTATATGGTATGACACAATGTATTGGTATGACAATGGAGATATACGACTGCAACGACATCTGTTGACAAAATACGAAAAGACTTTTTCGACCACCCAATATTAAGTTTAGCAAACCAGGTCAAGTGGTCATGTGCGCTCAAACACTCAAAAATTACAAAAAAATATATAATTTAATATTTACAAGCAATAATTTTTTTTTTCGTTTAAAATAACGCTGTTTCACTGTACTTATGATTTTTCACATAACACATTCTGATGAGTTGTAAGAAAAAATAATAGTTATATATAGGTACATACTCCATGTTATTCTGAGTTTCCGAGAAAACACGAATAACGAATTCACCTTCCTCATTTGGATCAAAGGTTGATGGTACAATTAAGTAATGACCAGGTGGTAGCTTAAAACGTGCACAAACCTAAAAGTATAGATCAAAATTTGTATTTTAAATTTTTTCTTCGCCCTCGCCTTCATATTTATATAATTTAGCGTACTGTAAGTGAAATCGCACTCACCTCACGGGTATTAATGAAATGTGGCGAACGTCCAACGGATGCACGATATTTAAAGAAATTCACACCCTGTGGTCGGGTGTGTAAGTCATCTTCGCTTAGATGATAAATGGCAAAACCGATTGTCAAACATTCCATGCCCATATTACGCTTGGAACGACGATTCTTTTGCATCAGCGCTACAATAACCGTACACTTSCCATCGTCATCATCTTCATCCGGATCGGCTAGTGTTATTACATACTGTGGATTATGCCAAAAGGTGTCTAAAAAGTTACGACAACCACCAGCTGTTACACCTTGCGTCCATTCACCCTCAAACATAGACATTTCCCAACGTCGTTTACCGCTATTTTGCTGCTCCTCGGTAAGTGAATCAGGTGATAAATTACAGATTTCAACACGATCGAAATGATTGAGGAAATCTTGAAATGACATCCAAAATTCACCATCACGATCAAATGTTAAACCGATTTCCTGTTTCTGATCTTCGGGTATATAACGCCATTCGGGTGAACTATCACTCCACGGACCATTCCATTCGGCCTCATTACCCCAGGGATTACGCATACGTATCATTGGTATTTTACCTTGCCGATTGGGTACAGCAATATCGAGTAAACAAACTTTCGTTATCGAGTATGCGTGGCCACGTATCAGCCCTTGTGGCGTCTCAGCCTCCAAAACATTCGGATCGGGCTCTAAGGAGCAACCCATTAAGGAGTTACGATCGACAGCTTTATGTAAAATGTTGAATAGATTTGGCGGTGCCTCTTTAAGGTCATACCATTCCGTTACACCGCCGGTAAAATCTTCCATACCCTCACAAGTGGTGCCGCCCTTTAGTGCTTCATATGAGCCATGTAATCTGTAGGTGTGAGGAGAAAATAATTAAATACAAAAAATTACAGAGCTTATTTCACGCACTTGGCATAGGCTTTCTCCAACAGTGCACTCCAAAACTCGTTCTTCTCAGTGGAATGCATATACATCAATTCGCCRCGATATGTCGGCAGACGATCGTCGACCACCACATCAATCCATTTACCATACTGCCAAAAGCAAAAGTGAAAAATACCAGCGTAACTTTCCTCGAARCTTTGATCTGGTGGCACAACGCGAAAGAATAGATTTGGATCCTGCGTTAGATTGGCAGTGGCGGCGAGCAACCAACAGTCGCCCAATTCGCCTTGTTGCACATCGAAACGCGAATAGCCCTCCACGAAGAATTGTGGATCATCAGCGATCTCCTGCATTTTTTCATAATTATTTTTRTTGCGTGCACATATTTTTCTCATTACTGTACTTACATGCGGTCTCATCCATTCAATGTGTCGATCGGGTCGTTGTGAAAACAGAAGAGACTCGTTGTTGGCTGGAAACAGCGGATCCTCAAATAAGGAGCCGTTTGCTAGGCACATGCTCCGGATGGACTCAAAGTCTTGGATGTCTGCTTGCACCCGTGTACCGCTGCCCTTTTCGCCAAGCTAAGAAATATGTGTAAAATGATTGCCCATTAATCATAATCAATATAGCAACCCTTACTAAATATGTTATGTTTTGTGTATGTTTACAGCAAAAAAGGCATAACTAAAAAAACTTCAAAGTAATAATGTTCGGTTGTGTGAACTAAAATAAGTTTTAAAAACGTGTAAAAATTTAGATTTTTCTGTKTTAGATAGGCGCTTTTTGAAGAATCTAAGAACTGTAATTCAACGCGAAATTCTACGAGGTTGGTTTCTTTCATGAAAAATATACTTCTCAAGCGARTACAACAGCCTTTAAGAGGTGGCTTGAGACCTGCTTAAATGGAATTTGAGGGAGWGTTGATATCACAGAAAAATACACAAAATGTTTCTAATATTGATTGCAGACTCGACGCTGCCGAAAATACTCGAGAGAGACTGTATTTAGCATCTGGCCAAATATGACCTAAACTGGTCATGCGCAAACCAAAATGATTAAAACATTTTTTAGATTACAGGGTTTGTCTGAAAGTAAAAGAACTGATTTTYTTCCGCCGCGACTGTACTTCGGAGCGTGCGCGCAATGACTGGATTCGGTAGATGGCGTTTCTAGCTAACGAACGAACAGCTGGCCAGTTGTCTCCGAGCACCTGGAGAGTCAGGACAAGCCGAAAATGCAGCGTTCGTTAGAGCAGAGGTACGCGATTAAATTCTGTGTGAAACTCGGTAAATCTGCGACAGAGACGTTTGATATGATCAATCAGGCTTACCMAGATGTTTGCTTTAGCAAGAAGTGGTGTGTTTCGGTAGCACCAGGCCTTTTTGGAGGCTTGATCGCTGATGAATGAGCAAATCCAAAGTGAAAACAATACTCATTGTCTTTTTTGTCAAAGGCATCGTCCGCCATGAATTTGTTTCTCCTGGACAAACCGCGTCAACGACAAGTTTTACGTGGAAGTTCTCAAGAGACTCAAAGGATGAGTCAATCGGGTCCGACAAGATTTCGCAGCCGTTTGGAAGTTGCACCACGACAACGCCCCGGCTCACACGCTGCCGCAGCCGCCCTACAGCCCAGATGTGGCCCCCCGGACTTCAGTGAGATACCAGAAGATCTCAATATCACCTATGGATCGAGTCAACATATTTTGGTTAATGTTTTGGATATGAAGCGTACCAATTCTAGACTCGATACCCAAAATATTTGAATATTTTGAAATAACGATATCAATTAGAGATCTCAAACGAGTTGCTTGACAAGATAGCKRAAGATTCTACATTTATCAAACGCAYCAATACTGCTGACGAGACGAAGGTGCATGAATAGAACGTCGAARCTGTACAGCAATCTAATGAACAGTGAGAGCCGAAACAGAGAAAAAGAAAATTCGCTGAAGGCACTGTCCCAACCAAGGTTCATAATACGTGTATGGAAAATGGAATTAAAAGCTGCTTTTTTTGGCCAATGAGCTTATTTTGAAAACGACAATAAATATGTGTGTTATAATACATCAAAAAGAAGTGTTTTGTTTGGTTAGTCCAGGMCAAATTTGGTAAATGCATTAAGAATTGTCACGGAAGCAGCAATATCACGAAGTAATGGAAAAATATTAATTCCGACTCCTTTTAATACGATTTTTGAAACGCTTTGGATTCCAAAAATTAATTGCTTTTAAAACAAAATTAGGCCCTAAAAAACAAAGATTCATTAGTATCGTCAATTATTTACGACACATATTTACAAGATTTCAACATATTCCTACTTTGTAAATCAGYTGCCCATCAAAGGTACGCTTTCGCACCAACGCAGGTGGTTTCTTAACAGCTTCATTCAACTGCTTTTCACATTTMACATCACACGTGTCGAGCTGCACACTCTTACTATCCACACTGTCCGCATCAATCGGCRCTAAATTGTAGTAAAGTGCCTCGATGCTTAAACTGGCAGTCAAGCAGGCAGTTCTACGCAATTTCGACGCGTTTTCACTGTCTCTTATATCCGCTTTGGTGCAAACATCGCTCTCCACTTGAAACACACATGAATCGGCGGCTAAGGTGGAAGTGCGACTATAATCAGTTTCTTTCGTCAACATTTTTCGACGTTCGAAAAAATTTCAAAGAGGCGGCTACTACGTGTACTACGAGTACGGCCACAAGAACTCTTGTTAAAAATGCACTTTTCGAATAATCGCGTTATTGCTGACTTATCGCACGATTTTGCCTGCCTACTCGAGGAGTATACGCGCTTGAATGACTAGCATGCGGACACAAGAAACRCTATCTGTGTCCTGTTTGCCCGTTTTCAATGGACAATGGGCTGTGTCTAGACGTGATATGCGCATCGCAATCATTTAAATAACATTATGGATATTAAGGAGTGCTACGCAACTTAGTTTATACCACGAAGCTTATTTATACCGTGTGTGCGGGTGTRTGTGTACTGTTGGGAATGAAATGGSGCGCCAATGAAGGGATAATTTAATGCTTTTTTAACTCAAATATGTCACGAATAACGGTTGTTAACGCATGATAGTTGACTAAATTAGGCTGAAAAATCTCTCTATTGGGAGAAAATTCACATATACATGTGTTAGGTGGCCCGTACCGAGGTACCGTTATAACATTATTTTTTTACAGCACACTTAAAGTTGACACTGAATTAAATTGTATGCTAACATTCGCTAATTTTGAGTATGATAGCTATTTGTTGTTGTTTAATTTGGCGCAAGCGTGAATGGGAGTGGGTACTAGCATAGCCTTCAAATATGTATGTAAAGCTGTTCTATCCTTTTGCAGGCACTATCCACTTGCAGGCACTCCTGTAACTTAACACTATAACGGTATGCAGCAACATATGCTTAAGTAGCTGTGTCTGTGCATGTGTGCATGTGACAAAGCAGTGGCGTATGTAGGTTTTGAAGTTTGTCCCAGAAAGTTCTTTACATTTCTTCGTAGTTGAAATGTTTGTAAAACTTAATTGGATTTTTTTATATAGCATATTTTATATGRAAAACTTTTTTCTGTGACAAGACATCTTTGATATTGTCGAAGACTGCGCTACAAGCTCTGAAAACATTGTTTAGATCGAACCTTTGTACCATACCATACAAACTGAACGATCAAATTATTAATTTAGAAATATTTCTAAAGTCTTTTATCCTATAAGAAATGCATCCGTTACCCATAATTAGCTTCGGTATAGCCGAAATTTGGAGTAATTTGGTCAATTTTCCACAAAAACTCTCGAGTATATTTACCTCGCTATCCTGGGGCCATGGCTCACGCTTAATCTAGGAGAGAAGATTACAAGTCACGCTAACAGAGAGTGGATGGTGCAAAGATACGCGATGCGATGGAGTAGGCACTTTGATCTATTGCGCGCAGCTAGATCTTAGGTGACCCTACAGGCTTCCGGAATATTGCAGTATACTTCAGGCAGATGTCTTTGAGGTCAGGAGACCCGCTAAAATAGCTTAAGATGCAGGAAATTACGTAAAAATATCATTAATAGAGTTTTTCTTTCCGTTCAGTAATCTTGCCTATCCTGCATGCCCCTAAGGCGGAATGCCTGAATCTCACCCTGATCCGTCAGCTTTTTCAGAAATAGACTGACGGATGCTAAAATCATACACAACGACACTTCCGAAAGGGTTGACAGACGGATCGGGGTAGAATGGAATGCCTTAGTAGGATTCRGAACTGCCAAGATCATTTGCAACGGAACGGAAGGAAAGCCGGCAAGTTTTCTACGCTCACGGTCTTGAAAGGACTGCAATACGGTTATTGTCCTAGACGCAGAACATCACGTGTCTCATGTAGAAAGTGCAAGGAATTGGTATATGAGAGATGCTGGAACATTTCCTCTGTTTTTGACAGGCCTTATCTAGAACTCGGCTTAGATATCTAGGAGCTTCACAGTTCAAGGGACCGGAGGATGTATCAGAATTAGATATCAAGTTCACATTGACCAACGCAAAAAGCGATGACGTACTGCACGACGTAAAATTACTGTTATTTTGCTATAGGCCCCTTAATACTTATTAACTTTACAGCCTTGTGGCTGCAAAAATAACTRTACAATTACAGTCTCTTAAGTGATAATGCACTTAATGGCAATTATGCAAATAAGAGGCGCTCTTTCGTAGGTGTCGCTGATTTTCCATGTCGACCAATGTGGGAATATGTTATTTGCGAAAAGTTACAGTAATATTGTGAGACGCAATAGTAAATGACATATTTAATTTTTTTGCCGACTGATTATAAATTTTAATAACATAGAATACAGGGTCTCCAAAYAAATTATGCATCATTCATTAGGGTAATTAATTTATATAACCTCAACATGATAGTTAATTTGAGATTGTGAGCGAAATTATAGGGATTCAATTTGATAATGATTCATAGCTATGATACAATTTTATAATCGTTTTCGTATTCATAGAATAGTCGACATCTCGTTCTCCGTTCTCCTACGGAAAGWTTTAAATCAACAAATGAAATTAATATAAAATAGTGATAATTGAAAGAAAAAACTGTCAACTTGACTAAAGTTTAAAATGTATTAATGTGTCGGTGATTAATTGAATAAAAAATGTGCGSCACTTACATGTGATGTCTAAGTATGCAATAACGATTTCAAAGAAGCCGCATAAAGAATAGTAAAAGCCATTATTTATTTGTAATTACAATTACTGTATAAATGTATGTATATATATGGTTAAACGCATACATCTAAAGCAAGATTTTTACTATATTTAGGAATGTTACTATTCAACTGTTAAAAATAAGACAAAATTATATATACGGAACGATTTTTGCTTACTAAATCAAATCTTACAGCAAACAAGTAGAATGTGCACCAAATGAATTTGTCGTGAAGATTTGTATTTTAGTAGTTGTGAAAAAAAATAATAAGAAAAAACGAAAT